TACAATATATGAAATCGTTATATTGAATTCTTCATTAACTTTAAAATTATACATGATTCTACGTGTAATTGATTATGATTGTTTCTAATCTGATGACAGGAAACTAAAGTAGTGAAATTATCAAACATGCTAATGTCTCTGTTTCATTTAGAATTACTGGAATGGAATACTTGACCGGTTTCTGAATATGTACTGAATACATATACTGAATACTTATAATACACGTGTGTCATACTGTGTGAACCTTCTATAAATGTAGCCATTTCACAAATACAATGAAGACATTGACACATAATAGAATTTGAACTAAATATTTCCGCAATGGTGAACTAGAGAAAAGTCAATTTGTGTAGGTATTGCGATGACTTTGAAACCGGTTTGTCACCAGGTTGGGTGTTTAGGCCTCACATCGAGGGCATTCAAGCCTTACTGGATGAATTGACATTATTTACACGAAAATTGAGACAAATATTGACATGAGGATACCATAGGGCTGCACCTACATCTTGACAGCTTCTTTATGGGTCTATAACTACCTTGTCTACGTGCTCTGTAAAACCCAGGTAAACAGTATATGTCGCCATTGTAATTGGTGTAATGCACGGTATCTCTATACATTGGCGTCAGGGAAGGTATCAACAATATAAAAGGCGATTTCTCCATATCACCATGTATGAAAACGTGATACAGCTTTTATAAAGTCTATATGGAGGTATCTGAATGCAGTTGCATTAATTCGAAATCTAGGTCAGATCCATTAATGGTATATGCGTTCAAAACCCGATATTCTGGTTCAATTTGAAACAAATGTATAATCTATGCAGAGTCACTGCAAAATAAGAGATCCGTTTAACTTCCTAAAATCTTGCTCATTAGGCCAAACGTTTGAGGTGTATTAGTTTCAATGAACAATTTCGTTCGATTCTTTGTTATGATGTAAGTAATGGAAATTTGAATAGTTGTTTTTTAAACAAATTAATGCATTTTAAGCCCTTCTGAATTTCTTCACGAGGTTTCCAATAACCTGCATGTCACTTGTTCATTCAAATAGTATTACGGCTCAAAATATACACATGTACTTGACGTTCCCTGATATTATCAAATATAGTACGATTATAAGATATATTAGATTATGGGTAAGTGTGACTCTCGATACGGATTTTAACATTTCTTTCGATCACCTTAGAATTTACCCCGTCGCCTTGGAGGTTTCAAAATTTAAACCCAATGCATCTGTGTCGAGTCCTAGAAGGACGAAACAGCTGTATGATTACATCAAGTTTATTATTAGATTCTACTGTATCTTATGCTAATATTTCTATCGAAATGTGTTATTTACTTGCATTTGTATACAGTCTTTGAGATTGCAGGTGGTATACACTGTGGAGTTTAGTCCCCGGTGTTTCCCATAACCTACACGCCACATCTTAATGCGGTTCATGACTTAGTCCCGAGAGGTTGCCGTAACCCTAAATTCTTATGTGTTGTAAATTGTTTTCCTTGCCGTGTCTTTTGTGCTACACACTGACACGAGGGTGCAATTGTTTTAAGATAATACTCAAGACTGAGGTGCAAAAACACTAAAATGACTAGCACCTTTCAAAACAAAGTTGAAATTAGATAACTTACATACATAAGAGCCAAATCATAAAATCTGTGCTATACTACTACCTCGTCGTTCTAGGGCTAGTCAGTGATGTTAAGGCCCTTATCTTTTTAAACCTGGGAGACGACCATATCCAAATGTGGTGTTACACTAGCACAGAAATGCATTAAATTTGCATTCCTATGATCAGAATATAAGGTAGGAATGTGGAATAATTACAGGTTTCAGTACTTTGAGACAAAACCTTATTTCATGATTTATGACATCCTATACAGTATTATGACATATATTGACATATTGATAATGTAGTGTTGTATGGCAGAAATGATACTTTCTGCTCTACACTTATAACATAGTAAATATAAATATTAAAAAAATTCCAAACTTTGATGTATTTCCGGTTTTAGTTACACGTACAATTACATAATTTGGTTGACTTTTGATTTCAAAATGTTTTTAACATTACAAGTTACTAAGAAATGGTACATAGCCATGCACAAAGACTTAAAAAAATACAATGTTATCCAATTGTAAATGCTTTAATTTCTAGCAGACATATCATTATTGAGCAGAGGATCTATGTAATAATATCAAATCAGCCATGCAGGCAATGGTTAACGTTTAAATTCTAATGTAAACTGATCTACTTTCTGGTTTTGGATATCATGTTGTGTTTGTCGACATTTTATCTCAGCTCAACCAACAAGTATACAATATTTCGAACGTTTGTAGCTATTGTTTTTATGGGTGGGATAAGAAAATATTTTTTCTTGATCACTGAAGAATGGAAAGAACTTATTCATGATATGTACAAAGGATATTCATCCTACAGGTATGCCAGTTAAGGCGCTTACTACGATCAGCTGTAGATCCTATCTGATTTCTGTATACATGCTAGACAATACATGTGGCAGAGGTCTGTTTCAGTTGACAGTCTGCCAAATACCACACCATTGTTGTTTTGTCCACGGAAACAAACTTTTTATTTATATTTTCACCCAGATCAGAATACGTCTTTTTGTTCACTTTCCATTGACAAAAACAAAACTGTCATAATATACTTATGTGAAAGCAAATTATTCATACAAAAATGAATGTCAATTTTGTCTTCTGGGAGGACAATACCATGTCTCTCTATTGTTGTTACTCTATTTTAACAACAAAAAAAAACTTCGAAAGGAAATTTCTGATTTTGTAATGATGTTTAAATCCTTATTTTGGAGGAGTCCCTTGCTGCCCTTAAAAGGGTTTATAGTATATATACAAAAACTCTTATTTTGTCAGTTCATGTCCATGAGTGTGAAAATATAACTCATTTTTTCACGTCATCAGTAGCACCATCAACAAAAAATACTGATATGTTAAGAAAATGAAAATGAATATGAGCAAGGAACAGATTTAAAGAGAAAACACTGAAACAAATTCTTCTATTTCGCCCCTCATGTAAATCCAGGTCAATTCAAGTAGTAATGTCGTGTTCCCAAATGAAGACAAGGTATACAATTAAAACTCTAAGGTAGAATAAGGTTATTTTAAATCAATAAGAAGAATAGAAGGAGTGTTTATCTTTCATCTGTAGAAGCTGATCATTTATGGAAGCAGTGGGCTGGTATCTAATATACACTTAATCAGTTGTTATACGCATAAGTTCTTTTGAAAATGATTTTATTTTCTTTACGCTTTTCTGGTCATTACCTGGGAGACTTTTTTCAAAGCCATTTATGTGAATATCTGTACAACTGCATCATGGAATAAGGTGTCTACACTTTCTCTTTAACAAAGTTACACACGATAAGTGTTTTCATTATCAACCAAATAAGGAACAAAGAAATAATACATAGCCATACCGTGATTTTTTTAAGCAACACTGACAAGTACGAAAAACTGGAAATAGTTGTGTCATTCCAATTATCTCATAACAAATGGTGATTTTTGCTTTAAATTTTGTAGAATTCTCAATTTTTGTTATGATGTTTGAGTGATGCCGTTGTACTATGACGTTAAAATGCATAAGTCTTTGCAATAAAAGCGAGTTTGGCATTAATAACAATGTACAAAATATATATTAGACACAATATGTAACCAATGAATAAATGAATAGTGTGAAGGAAAGGTCAAAGAGGAATACATATTCCGAACAAACACCACTATTCTGAAAATGTAAAACGTATAGGGTAACATAGACCGTATGGGCTAAAATACACTGATAAATCGAAAATATTTATTTTCTTTGATAGAAAGCAAATGTTGGTTTGTGTATGAAACAACAGGACTATTTTCAGGATAGGCTTATTTTCGAGGTCTGTATTTTTTCGAGATTTTAGATTAAATCAATTAAGATATCATTAAGATAGTCTATTTATATGTTATTTGTACAATATATGATTAACTTCTGCGAATTCGTAAATTCTACTTTTACAGATAAGCTATATTATCAATTCAACATGAAACAACAACTGTACCTACATGTCAACAAATAGTAATTCAAACACAAAAGCAAAGGAAATATTTACATGTAAACCTTTAAAAAGCTACAATAACATGAAAACAGAATAAGACCATGTGTTCCGAGATGATAAGCTCTCCCCTGCTTGATCAAAATAAATGATAATGATAATAGGCTATTTTGTAGCAATAAAAAGTGAATTCCCTAGACTCCCTAAGGAATTCATAGAAAAATTACTATTACTGAAGTCGTATCGATGGCCGGTAGTGGAATATCTCCGTTTTAAATCGATGCTTATTTTAGTCAACATTTTGGTAACAAGACATTGTCTGAATATTCTTTTCTTTTCGATTTCCTGTCTTCTTGGTTTGACTTCTGGTACAAATTGTTACAATTTTTTTTTATTATTTCGGTTATGGCTGTGGGTTCCTGACTTCTAAGTCCTTTGCCAAATGATCTAAAATACTAGAAAATTGAACCAGTTACAAAGAATATACAACCAATACTTATACTTCGTTTAGATTTCGTTAGTACATCTATGCAATATTAGAATGTTTAATATAATGACATCCTTATTACTGTGTATGAGGAAATCGCATAATCTGTAGTTATTAGATAATACCACATAGACAAATTGTGTGCTGCTAATTTGCTAATGTAGTGCAACACATGATTTATGGTGATAGGGATAATTTAATCTGAATTCCATAATAACATTCATAAACATGTGTAACTTTTCTTCTCCTGGGCTATCATTATAGTGTATCATTACTGGTATATAGTTTCTTGTTTTACAGATGTGACACGAATTTGAAGTAGAACGAACATTTGTTTAGCAGACATGAGACACGAGACGACCAGGTCCTGATGAAGCCCCCTTGTAAAATTGCCTTACTCCTGATCGTCTTCATTCACCTTCTTTGTGGCCCAAAATATGTTGGCGCCAATATGAATACGGAGGACAGTGAGGATTCGGACGAGGAGGATTATGATGATGTCAAGGTACCAGCATTCATACAATTACAGGAGGCAGCTCAGCCTTCACTTGCAACACAGGCGGATGGTGAATTGGAAACACCAATAAGTGCTCCTACTGGATGGTCTTCGTCATTGTCCACAGCAATGGCGGACAGTACATCCAGAAGTACAACGCTAACACGTGGTTCCACAACGTCGCCATGGACGTCGCCCACTGTACCGACCACGTGCACTGCGTTTTCCTGTCTCAACGGCGGCAGTTGTGCTGAAGGGAATGGAGGGATTCAGTGCTTTTGCCCGGATCTGTACACAGGTAAAGCTTTACTTGTTGCCTACCCAATAGTGTTTTTAGGAGTATCAAATTTGGAAACCATCACCCCATCCACTTTATTGTGTTTCACTATATTAACAGTTACGGTTCGAAATATTTTCAAAACACTATCTTCAGATCAGGTTTGAGTCTAAATACATTTTGAAGTACGTTTGCAATATTCGTTATGAATTAAACATTTACATCTTTTGTATTACTTATATCAATTTTCTGACCTTTCACCTTTTGCATAACTCTATACACAGCTCATAAATTCACAATGAAATGTTGTAAAACTCCACAGATATATGTCGACAACCACCAATTTGTGATCATTAACTTGTTTGATTCTTGTTACAATGCCTAACAGTCGTTTTTACGTCGATGTACCCATTTTGTTGAAGGAGTGTACTGTGAGAGTCCGGCCGCCTGCCAGCCCGTTACTTGTGGTACTAGTGTTGGGTGTGTTGACACTCCCCAAGGACCATACTGTGTGTGTCCGGGGGACTCCAGAGGCGTCCTGTGTCAGCAGAGTGAGTACAAAAATAACATATTTTACACAAGGACATCTTGTATCAATGTACGTGAAAAGAAAGTGCTTTCTTTATCCAGAATTATCCTAGTCAAATTAAAAGAGATTTTTTTTTTTTTTTTTTTTGGGGGGGGGGGGGGGGAGTGGGGGGGGTTTCCACGTGGTGTTCACAAACGATGCGCTTATGAAAATGTTCATAGGTTACACATTTGGTGCCGTATAATACGATGATATACATTTCAATGAACAGAAAAGAATGTATAATAAGAAATCAGTCCAATAACTTGTTTAGTATACGAGTACCAAAATAGGAAATAAATTAAGTTAAAATTGCTCTCGTTCTCAGCAGAACGACAGTCCTAAAACTTTCCACACAAACGTGAGCGAAGTGAAGGAGAGTTGACAAGAACTCGTCACATGCTTTTCTTTTAAGCTTCCGTCGCTTTTTCCTTTTTGTTTTTTTATTTGACAACATATTTCCAATAGGTTTTTCGTCCTATCAATGAAACTGTTCATTTAAGCCATGTGTTAAACTTGTTATATCAAAATACATATTTTGGCTTTCAAATTTAACTTTAGCCATTTTTTTTTAAATTTTCTACTTAATTGAAAAAGCGACAAATAGATAAACTAATGCGTTGTTGTCGATATCCTACAAATGTCATCCTATCGGCTGTCAAGATAGCGTGAAACGAAGGACAGAATGACAAATGTCTACACAACTATGGCATTTTTGCAAGAACTTGTCAACGATTGTACAAAAGTCACACGGGTGAATAACACGTTTCAATGTAAAATTGGAATTTGATACACCATAACAAGGTAATTAACTAATCTTAAAATGCATCTCACATTTGTTGAGAACCAGCTGAGTTTAATAGCCATACAAGATGAGTTTATGAAACACTACGCCCTCGGTTGCAACAAAATTTTGAAGTATGATATTTAAACTGTATTATGTAAGGTGTGTAATGATTGAAAGTGTAATATCTTATGATGCAATGGTTAGGGCCAATCTTACAAAATTTCAAAATGTAGGTCAAAGGTCATGGTCAAGTTAAAACATTTTGATACCACCGGAACACTTGTTCCAAATGTGGAATACATACCTCTTACGGTGCAATAATTATGGATTGACAACAGAAAAACAGACAGCACAAAAATATGCCCCAATCTTTTGATCCGGGGACATGAAAATAACAAAACAAAACATATCGGAAAATTATGAATGTTTCTTCTTTCTACAAGGAGATCGTTAATAATTAATTAGACAGTATCCCACACTCACCAAAGAAAAAAAATCAATGCCAACAAATAGAATCAGCATATTTATGGATCCGTGGAGATAAAGTTGTTTGACTATATTAAATAAAATTTTATTATTACTATGAGTACCTGATGAAATGTACTAATAACGAAAACCGGATCAGATCGAAAATCTGTGTAGATAATTGATGTATAACCATATAACTTCAAATAATCCTATGCGACTAAGAAACGCTTTTCTTCTACTACTTCTCAGAAATCTCTTCAAATTTATCAAAAGACCTGAAGTCCATTGTAAAGTGATTCTGGAGAAAAGCCGGCTAGTGGTAATTCTGTCACCAATAAAAATCACCAGAAGAAAGTTTGTAGCCATTTCGTCAATCTGTTCCTCCTAGAGGATATCGTGTTTTATATTATTGTTGTTTTTTTTATTCAGGCGACTCTCATGTCCAATGTTCTGCCTCTACCACACAAACATTTCACGACCTTTCAACACAGGGGGCGGGACCCATCACATGTTTCCCCGCCAATACTACCAGCCAATCAGATGTTTGTTTCGATGCGGACGACCCGCTAGTGTATTCCATTGAGGACTCCAACCCTGGACCCTTCAACATCACCTACCACGCCATCGGGGACACTTTCTGTCTGTATGCTGACCCGTCTATGGTACAGGGAAGAACTCAATGTGTAAGTGCTGGAACATATTATTTGAGCTGATGACCTTACGAGTGATTCTCAAACTTAGCACCACATACCTTTCCACGCCATAGAAAAAAAAGTTATTTCTAAACTCCGAGTTACTATAGATAGTTGGCTTTGAAAAAAGACATCAATGTTCGGCCCCGGAAATATTGTTTCATCTATTAAACTTTTCATGGCATTTAAGGCATCAAATTTCAATATTCTGCTCCTAGAACACAACAAAAGCTACATGTATATCATATGTGTTGATAATTAAGTATTACTACAGTGTGTCTTTACTTTGAATGTCTATCACTACTACACTACTTATAAAAATGGTTACCCGACAACATGTGTCGTATGGTTTATGAAGTGTTGATATGGTATCTTTTTCAGTAATTGCCATTAATATTAAAATTTCAATTCATACGAGTGAAGTGACTCTTAGGAAAGAGCATGTTCAATTTAGCTGCATGTGGACATCAGTGTGTCAATTATATAGGCTATGAATGTACCTTAGTTCTCACAAACAGTTTTTACATGCGGTAGTTTTGGCACGAAATGGGCTTAACACTGTTCAAACATTTCAGTAAACTGCATTTGATTTTATCTTTTACGTTGTAACCAAATTTATAATTCATTCAGAATTTTAAGTGTTTTTTTTTTTTTTTTTTTTTTTCAATGTTGTTTAACTTTATTTCGTTCTTTTCTTGATGTAAAAAAGTAAATTCAGTCTTAATGCCTTCTGTACTCGTTTGTCTTTTAGTTTCGTCTTTGGGCAACAGAGGCAGACGACCTGTTGTATCGACCCTGGCGAAATGCTAGTCACGACCACTGCGTGGTGTTCAACTCGCCCCCAGTATTATCTGGAAAACCGTACTCTGTCACAGTTGATGTCTCTGACCTCAGACAAGGCTTGACTTTACTAGACCTCAACTACACTGACAACTTTGTCTACCCGAACATTGAGTTTTCCATCAAAAGTAAGTCATCGCAAAGATTTGTTTCCTCGTGAAAACGACAAGAAACTATCAAAACGAAAACATTATCAAAATTAAAATTAAGCCTTTAAAATTGATAAAAATACTGAAAAATACAAATAAGAATGATTTCTAGGGAAAATCTTGTAGAAAATGATCATGGTGGATATATGATCATTTGTTCCGCAACGATAAGAGTCTTTTGCATCGACCAATAAACGTAAACTATGCAGTTAATGTCATGTTCTCAAAATGACAAACGTACAATTTCGTCAGGCACCTAATCCATCTCTGTTCCCTTCTTTTCCCTCTCCTTGTTAGAGATCAGATATCACACGAGGATTTATTCAATAAAGCATGTGTTACAATTTGCACTATAATCATATTCGGAGAGCCCATTTTGAGGGCATGAATATTTAGGAATATAAGAACAAATTTCACAATATCATTTTTCACGTTGTACAAATTTCTGTCTTTGGAATTCTAGGCGTCCCGCAGTCTTGAAACATATTTCATGGCAAAACCAAAAGTACATGAATAGTCATGCAAATTAAATTATGAGGTCGGCATATTTCCTTCGTTTGTTACAAAGATAGCACACCAACGATAGAGCCTGTCATGTATTCCGTAATGTTTACACAGTCCTGACAAATGGCGTGCCAAAGTGTAAAAAAATCTATTCGTGGATATCCGTGACTCATTTCCATATATATAAGTGAGTCAATCATTTAACTATGTTAAACAGTTTCAAAATACAATTAAGTTCTCAAGATACTGTACAAGTAATGTGAATGTTTGATCTGTTCTGGAGACAGATCCTGTCGATATCTCATGTAGTGCAGAATTTCTGAAGATGTTCTGTTGTGTACAAATCGAAGGCAAGTTAACCTTTGACATCTGACAGTTCTCAAATTTCAAACTTTACCCTTTATTATAAAACATCTAGGGATATCCAATTATCAGCACCCATAATAAGCCGAATCTTCACAAAATGAAAGATTTTAACGCATGTTGACCCTGTGACTTTGAAAAATGTTCAGGTGATTTTCACAAGAAATTTTTTTAGCACTTTGTCTAAGGTAGCTATAGCGAAATTTAAGAACCAACTTATTTTTTTTACCGATTACAGTCCAAATTAATATTTACATTGTAATTTATGCGACCATTAAAAATCTTTGATATAGACACAAGAAGTTCGACAAGCTTAGCACTGATTGTTTGCGTTATATATATACTTATGTGTTATCGACCTTAATCTTATCAATCTTCCGACATATAAAGTTGTTGGAAGTTTTTATTATGAGGTTTCAAATGGTCACTAACATCACGGAACTATAACACACAATCACGTACAAGTATCTATTGGTCAAATACCAGAACCCGTGTGCTAACAGCTTTCTTTAAGAAGTTGTTCAAATAAAATATATCAAACAAACCATAAGCAATATTTTGACGGGCTACAAGGTATATGCTTATTCCAAGTTGTCTTGCGGAACTTCAAGTGTTCACTTTGATTCAATGGACGTTTTCATCGGCGATCAGCTTCATACAAAAAGGTTAATGTCTTAAGGAAATACCAATAATGATAAGCCAGAAAAGATATCCGTAAGACATATAGATTTAAATCATCAGTTGAAAAGCACGCATTGGACTTTCCGTCATCTCAACGGAAAGGCCAAAGCAGTTTTCCGATTAGAGTCCTAGCAATCGGCAATTTTCGGTCAATCCCGTATCTGCAGCGATGAAGGAAGGGAATCCGCCGAGATGTGCCGAGTGGAGCTTCCGGAAGTACATGTAGAATTACAAGCGAGATTTGTTTTTAAGCGGGAAGCCACAACTCAAAAAATGCCATGGTACGCTCGTGTTACATATGTTAACATGTTATATTGATTAATGGTTAACTGCAAAATAACCATCTACATGTGGAAAGTCGTTTCATCTGTTTGTTTGTTTGTTCACTAAAATCCAAAATTGAGCACTTGTCTCTCTCATATTTCTCACGATTTTCGGATTGAATTTTGAGCAGGTTGACCTGACAGTAAAAAAAGTACTGGTCTTTTAAGTTAAATACATGTAATTATATCGACAAGGCTGTATAAAATACATGAAAATCAACACACATACATACCGACACACCAGACCTTTACATATGTAAATCTGTCTGCATGTGAAATTACAATGCAAATTCTTCTCACAATACATGAATGCAGGCACAGATGGCGTATATCTTTCATATCTTATAGATCTGAAGTGGTTATATCGATTGACTCCAGACCGTTATATAGATTAATAGATTGTCAAATGAACTATCTAGCTAGGACACAGATATTTTTTCAGTACTCGTGCTTTTTCTTTGGAACTTGATTCAATCATACTTTGACAATTCTCTCGCGATTCAACCATATTTTGAAAACAATATCTCCCTCACTATATAGAAACAGAAACAAAATCTACCTGCATTTAGATTTACTGATCAATACATGCTTAGTGTATAACAAATAACTGCATTTTGTACGTAATTTATTGGACAACAGATCAAGATGCAATAAGAGTCATGTTTAATATTTTCTCTATTTTTTTCCTTTGTTTATTTTTTCTTTAATTGAGGGTTTCTGAATTTTCAGTTAAGATAACATCAAATATATGTACATACTGTTATGCATATTATGTATGTAGTTCAACTCAAATCATTCTTCTTCCATAGGCATTACACCTGCTCCTTGGGGAAATTTCATTGGTGTTGAAACAGCAACAGGAATCCTCAGTCTGGTTGCAGATGTACTCGTGCCAGTTAACAGATATCAGATGGTGGAAATCAACATAACGGTATAGGTTCTTCTATTCATTTTGTTAAAATGAAATTTAAATCATATTTAGAGACATACACAATGAGATATTTTCAATTCCATAAAAGTGATCATGTTCACTAGACGAACTGTTTTCTGAAAAAAAGATAATATTGATTACTATTTATCAGTATGCATAGAGACTTTGACAGTAGGGAGTTCCAGGTATGTTGTTCATACAGTGCTCTAGATAGGTTTTCAAAAAATTAGTAAAGTACCCTAACTTTTCCAACCTTTGGGATTAAATATGATTTCCTTCATGCTATTTGAGTATACGTGATTTCAGCATGAAATGGGACTACGTTTTGTTGACTTGTGGAAGGTCAAGATCGCCTACACATGTTATTTAAATTGATGGCTAAATGAAAACATGCCTGCATAATTGGTATGCATTGATTCGACTATCAATGCATGTCCCGTCAATTTTGGCGGATAAATTACATTATCTGGAACACTGATGCTATTTTCTTCACGTTCCATGACATTATGTATAGGTACATTTAAACGATATTACAACCATTGTCAACCTTTCCTGTTTAAGAGGAAATGTTTTAATATTCTAACCTAATATTGCAGGGTTTTCCGTAAGAACCGGTCGCCGGCCAATTTGACCGGCTACTTTGATCATTTGGCCGCCTACCAATCCAGTTCCGTAATAATGCTCCGTACACGACTACACGTACATGGCAGGCCAGCCTCCTACTTTCACTACACAGCCTACTACTAACAAAATTATGGAAAACCCTGAATATTAGAAACTCCTTAATGTCAAAAATTTGTTTTTTTTTTAAAACTTTAATCTTTTCATCTCTCTGAGGTATATAAATAGGTGTAGATCTAGATCTATATAACTGATCTTTAGAGGCTTGAAAATTCTGTGGTGACATGATGTTTTCCATTGTCAAATTGACATTGACAAAATATGAAATGAGACAGAGAACAATGATATTAAGAATTAATACAACTGACAGCGGTGTAGTGTAAGTGATAGCTTAAATTAAGGATTCTTTGTCTTTTGGTTTTTTCTAAGTTTTGAAGTTTATCAGTCTGTAAATATGTTACAGGTAACAGATGGAGGAATCCCTCCTTTGTCTGATGAAGGTGTAGTACATCTTATTGTCCTCAACGGTTCTTTGGTATGTACAGCCCCACCTCTGTACCTCAGTTTAGGGGCCTTACCAAATGGACAGACCATTCTTGGGACCATCCAATGTTCAGGTGTATCCGACGGTACCCTCACATTTACTGTTGATTCATCACAAGGTAAAAAAAAAACAACAAAATATACAAACATGTCTACAATAACCCAAACTTATTTTAATTAAAACTAGGGGAAATATAAACAAAAGGTAGATTTTCACATAGACTCCAGAAAACAGGATAGGAGAATAAGACCAGTTGTTCAAAGAATTTATGTACAATAATTGTGAAGTTGTTACTTTGTGGAATTCTGTGGAGCTTGCGTAACTGATTAAGACGTTGTGGTGTACGAAATAAATCCACTTTCTGAAAATTTTCAATATCTGAATTACGTTCAAGTAAAATATCCTTTTAATTGAATTTTATTGTTATTCAGGAAATCTATGTAGTTTCATTAATATTTTGCCCAAATCTAGACATTTGGATACTATTCCAATAAAAGATCTTTGAGAAAAGTTTATTCTTTTATTCTTTCTGTTATGACAATTATCTTCTATAACATATTTTCTTTGTTATTTATAGAATGATTTCTCTCTATTACACCACTTAATTCAGCTGAAAGTTTTACCTGGGTTATCAGAATTCTCTTTCATGAGAAATATGTGAAGATATTGACCATGTTAAGTAAACGGAAAAAGATTTCTAGACTGGAACTTTTTAAAAAAAAATTGATTGATTCTACTTGTACACTGTACATAAAAAAAAAGAATTTTTGCTAAAATTGATTGATTTCACTTACACAGTGATTAAAATGAAAAAGGAACTTTTGCTAAAATGGATCATTTTCACTTTTACACTGTATTTGTATATGAAGATACTAGTAAGACAGAACCCTAGTGCTCTGGTGATTCATTTTGTCTTTCTGTAAATTAAATATAAAAATATAGCATCAGTTCCCAGTTATTGTGGATATTAATGATTTACTTTACAGGTTTGCTGGCTGTGAACTCCCAAGGAGACTTGTTTTTAGTTAACCAAGGAATATCCTCATCTGGTACCTTCATTGTACAAGTGATGGTCCAACAGTCTCCGTTCCCTAGTGTTATCGTGGATGTTAGTGTCAGCATTGGTAAGATGACTTGCTTTCTAGTTAGGAACTAAAAACCTAATTGATTTTGATTTTTTTTCACATGATATGGATCCTTATCTTTCTTACTGTGGCTCCATCATAGGAAGATATCATTCAATGTTCATATGTACATATCATTAAAATCTAACTGGAGCATATCACATTATATTTCACTTCTTTAACACTTCTTTTTTTCCTTAAAAACATTTATTACATACAATTGAACCCAGTTATCTCGAAGTTGGTGGGACCCAAGGGAAAAGATTGCTTGTTTAGTGTAAAGTTTGGACAGAACCAACAAAATGCCTTGAATTACACAGGATCTTCAAGTCAAAAAAGTTTGAGATAACAATGTGTGACTTAAGCTCTCTTAAAAGTGATAAATGAACTAGCTTCCCACAAAATGGGAGAATCCATATAAATCTTTATATATATTTTTTTTCCCATTTCGAATATTTTTTCAGGTGATTTTGAGCCAGAGTGTATCCCTTCTCCAAATCTAGTCCTGATGATTTCGGAAGAAATTCCAGTAAACAGTTGTTTTGACCTCTACCAGTGTAGGTCGCCATTGTTTGCGAACCCTGTGAATTGTGCAATATCATCAAATGATACCTTAGTGAACTACTTAGAACTAGACTGCCTGACTGTGAGTCAGACCGACAGTTATTATCTGGTCAATGTCTCCATATGTGTTCATACAAGTTTGGCCCTGCAAAATCAGCTTGGCATGCACCAGGTAAGAAATTTTATAGAATTGACAAACTAATCAAAGCTAACGAGTTTTAGATTTTGTTCTTAAATTTTTTTCGTTTCCTCTTTTTTTAATTTGACAGAAAATACTTTCTTTGCGACTAAGTCTCTTTAACTGGTATTGTACAATATGTTTGATATTCATTTTGGTTTCTCTTTTTTTAACAGGTGCATGGAGAAGTCTCGAATAGTTTTGGAACTACAACATCCAGTTTTGAAATAGAAATTCAGGCAGGAAATTTCAATTCTCCAGTTTTTATAACAATCTATTATGTGGTGCAGATTTCAGAGATGACGGCTAACGGTACAGACTTGTTCCAATTAAGAGCTGCCGATGCTGATATCAATGATATCCTGACTTACAGTATTCTTAATGAGAGTAAGTTTGCATTGTCTTATATACAGACATTAGTTATGACTTCCCTTTCATACCATCACAAGGCATCTTAGCTGTGATGTATTTATTTTCTATAATTCATCTGCTTTTTCCATTAAAAAAGTTCTTCCTTAGAACTGTAATATATTTTAGCAAGAGGTAGGTCATTGTGGCCTCTGGCTGCAGTCTACAACACTGACTTTTAACTGTTTTAGTACTTTACGATACCTATAACAAACTTGTGATATTGTTCTGGAATGTGAAAAGTAAGCATATGAGTCAAGACAAGCACTATTTCAAATTATTGGGTATTGTTGTTAATACATGATTTTTACTCCATAAATTCTTACCAAAACAATACAAAAAATGGTCCAGATTAATTTTAAAAAAGAAATCATAATAAATTTTGTGACTTGTGTATACATTCTCCTGAAGACGAGAAACATTTCTTTTTATATTGCCCTTTATATAACGGATCACGTATTAAGATGTTGCGTCTGGTATGTAATGAAATTGCTCCAAATGTCAATCCGATTCTTGTTGTTGAGCTAATACCTGATGTTCTAGTAAATATATTACTACATGGATGTGAAACTTTAGACTGTCAATCAAACAAAGTTATATTTGATCGAGTTTTCGATTTCATAATCAATTCAAACCGATTCTAATCATCTCTCTCTCTCTCTCTCTCTCTCTCTCTCTCTCTCTCTCTCTCTCTCTCTCTCTCTCTCTCTCTCTCTCTCTCTCTCTCTCTCCCTCTCTCTGTCTGTCTGGTGTGCGAGCAGGTGTGTGCTGTGTGCGTGGATGAGTGTGCGAGTATCAATTTAATGAATGAAAGGAGTGAGTAAATGTAAGTAAGTTTTGTCAGTTTCGAATATGTTTTCTTGTATTGTACTATGTAATGTGTTTCATGTCGAGGAGAACAACTAGTAGCCCCAGGGCTGTTTGCAATCCTCTTTAAACAAATAAAGAATTAAAATAAAAAAAAATAATAATAACATAAGAATGATGTATAAATATATACATGACTTTTGTGCAAGTAATACTTTCAGGAAACTGAACCCAAGAAAAAAAGTTCTCTTGACACGAAAAGTGACAGTTAAGACAGTTAAGTAGAATGTTTTATAAACTTAATGTCATGCCATTGGTGTTTTCTGTCATTTTAGGTTTACCATTTATTGTACTTGGTGACAAGCTGCTACTGAATGGGAAACTAAACGCTACTGCTCGGAATTCCTATGCTTTCCAGGTCAAGGTAATCACATACTGACAGTCATTTCTATTCCACTGTTCCTATTGATCATTTGTCTGTTTGTGTGAATTTCCTTCATTAAGAAAAGGCACATGTACAGTAGATAATGAAAATGTCACCTGATTCTGTGTTTAGTTTTCAGATTTCACATCAGAAAATATTGTAGGATATATATCATTTACATATTTTTTATGATTTTTATAAGAAACAAGTCATTTTGGCACATCATAAAGTTGATTTCCGGGCTTAGACATCAGAAAAAAAAAGTGTCAATTGTTAATGTCCCATTCTGCTTATTATCACATTTTCTGCTGACAAATGGAACATGATATTAAGCAGTATTATGAAATGTACTGTATATCCACTAGGTAAGGTTTACAGATACTCAGTGTTTATATTAGGTAGGGTGCTCTGTAGTACAAGAACTTGTCACAATATGTTTTTTTTTCTCTTAGGTGACAGACCTTGTCGGACACGAGTCCACAGCTTCGGTATCTATCTCCATCACCGATGTCAATGAACCACCAATATGTGTTACTCCATTCTCCTTTGTTGTGGATGCCACAGCTACCAGTAATCAGGTTGTGACCCAGCTGAGTTGTTACGACACAGACATGCAGACTAACTACAGCACTTTTATTTATCTTTTGGACCCATTTGAATCAAGTTCAATATCCAGTAAGAACTCATATACTTTATGTCAGTAGTTGTATTTTTGCCTCTATACTGTAATATCATTAATTTTTGTGAGTGATTTATTCTCATTTATTTTGATGGATAAACTGAAATCTACCTATAAAGTGTCGAAATAAGTAAATATATATTTATTAAGCGATATGTATCACCAAAATCAGGTGTCCAAAAAAGATTTTCGTTTTTGAAATTTCAGGAAAATTAAAAAGCCCTACAAACGATGATTTTACAGTATATGTTTATGCTCCATCCTTGAAACGGCCAAAACATATAGTGTTGCCCTTACATGTAATTCTGCTTGATTTGGTTTCTGCTCATTTACTCTTTGATAGATGAAGATTTTTTTCATTTAGAGTTATGACACTTGAACATAGAAAGTTTTAAGAAATAATCTATATCCCCACATTCTTATTGAGATAGATGGGAGAGTTAAACTAAAATTTGACCTTAAGTTGTATTATGAGAAAATACAGTCAAGTTCATATTAGATTTCAGTTATTATAACTTTTTTGTCCTTTGGTCCGTTTGTCCATTCATCATAATTTTGTCTGGCACATAACACAAAGTGTACAAGAACCATAACTTTCTGTTGCATAATATAGGAGTTATTGCCCTTTTTTGTTGTTTAAACTTTGTCCCAATCAGGGAGCATAACATGTCTCTGACAGCCCTTGTTTCCGCTATAAAAAGTTAAGGAACTATTAGTTTCAATGGTTGCTGAAAGGACATTCTTGTCACAGGAACTCAACGAAATGAGTGTCCTTTGGCCTATTTTATTAAGTTCGTTGAGGACAAGTGTGATTGTTAATTATCAGACATTGTGCTTAAAGAAATAAATGTAGGAGTAATTTGTGAGGGGAAATTTTTTTAGTTCTTTAAAGTTAAAACAATTAATACAGTGTTATTTTATTGACTGGGAATTTTTCATGTTTTGTAATTTCAGATATTTGAATTTCTTACAAAAAAATGTATAGACACAACACACTCAAAAGAAATCTTAGAAGTGATATCATTGTTAAACAGTGAAGATGATAAAGATTTCTTAAAGCCATGTATGTTTGTTTCTGCAGCTCTACTGAATGTGAACTCTGACGGACAGATAGTCCTGTTACAAGACATGAGAGGAGATGTGGAGTCCTACACCTTCACTGCCCTGGCTAGAGATCAAGGGGGGCTTAACACATCCATACAAGTCAACATGACAGTCAATAGTATGTACCTATATATTTACTGGTACAAGTCTCTTAAGTTGGAATATCATCTCCGATTTAGCATACATGCAAGCGAAAACCTAAATTATGATTCATCAAAATATTTCACACTGACGTTTCATGAATCTAGACTAGAATATTGATATTTTTAAATCCCTAAAGACTATCGTTAATATATAGTTTTACTGAAGTCATGTAACAAATTATTTTTTGGCAGTATTTGTTTACCTTATTTAATCAGTGTGTTTAATGGCACATAGCATGCTAATTTTAATGTGATACGGGTGGCAGCTGCTACTCGTAATTGTAGAACTACCCTTTATGTATTTGCTTTGTAATACTTTTATCTCATGTTCATATGTGTATGACTTGAAAATTGTTACAAAGAGGAGGTAATTATGATCTGTAGGTCAGCTTTTGATAAGAAGTTAAGTTATTAAAGAGTTAACAACAGAAATGCATGATAGATTCTACTGTGTAATTAAAGGATTTTTTTTTTCTTAATTTTGATTCACAATATGATTACCTTTTCAGGAAATTTTGCCCCCATTTGCCCCATGGGTTTCATCGAAACAGCAATATTGGACAATATTGGCCCATCACAGTGTTTCAGTATAGATACTGGTTGTACAGATCCACTGGCTGGAAATCTCTACTACACCCTCAGCGGTGGAAATGGCACTCAGTGGTTCATTGTCCAGCCAGACCTGCCTGAGGTGTCAGTGTCCACACTGACCCTTTGTCCACGTGTCATGCTGACCAGCAGGCTTGGTTCCTGGCATGTATGTGTCACAAATGACTAATGACTACTATCTTTGTCATTTTATTTTCAGTAGAAGTCCTGACACAGAATTTTTTTCTCGATTCAATTGATTAATTTATCTGTGGTTTTTTTTGGTTTTTTTCATGTTTTGGTTTTTTCGGGGTTTTTTTTTTTTCAAAATTGTCATAAGCAAATACATTTTTTAAAAAAATGAAAGACAAATTTTAATTTTGGGTTACGGTTACCAGGATAAACAGAGAGTGGAACAAATGCAGTTTTCATACATAGTGTTTAATGCTAAGATCATTGTTAAGTTTAACAATAAAGTGCCGTCAGATTTATTTGCATGTTAATATATTTCAATCTTGGACAGATTTATATATTTCTAGATTTTTAGGCTTAACGTAATACAGTTACAGTATCAGCCTATTGTCACAGACTTTGGAACTAGCTGTTACTACAAATCCTAGCTTTCTAACTGGTGGAAATATTCCAACAATTTATCAGTGACATCTATTGGCAGGCATGTGCATAAAAAAGTGCGGTGATCTTTCAAAACTGACATGCATGCTTACTCTCATTTTTTTCATGCAAAGCAAAACAATTTTATTTTTTTACTTTCTTAGGTCAACGTTGAGGTCAGAAATCAGTTTAACCTGACATCACTGCTGGTAAATGTGATTGTGGAAGAGAAAAATGATCGTCCTGTCTTTGTTGGTCCAGTGTATGTTGCCAGTATCTCCGAGAAAGTTCCTATTGGTTACATCTTCTTACAGACTACGGCACAAGACGCCGACATCTTGCCTATCAACAATCAGCTCACCTTCTCACTAGGTCAGTCTTGTAGTCAACTGGCTACTAATATATCTTCCATGATCCTCAAATAAAATGCAAAAGGCAAACCGAAGCTTTCAAAATATAAACAGTGAAATTCTAATATTTTAAATTTCTGGTTTTCAGTTTAGGGTTATTCCAGTATCTTTGGTCTTTCGCTATTAAAAATGTTTTGACCTTATTTTATATATTTAAACAGATCTGGGCGACATTATTGGATTTGATATCTCAAGTGATACAGGAATGATCAGTACCTCTAGAGTGTTCAATGCCTCCATAAGGACGACATACCAATTCAAAGTAAAGGTAGATAACTCTTGATTATTAAAAAAACATGCGTTATTAAATTTGCCTTTGTGCAGTTGGCATTTATACTGCTCATAATTGCCAATTGACTGTAGTTCAACACTTAAAAAGCACATATCTTATATTTCTTACATACAGTGAGAATCCCAATTGGATTTAAAAATATGTATACTTATATGAAATATACACCCTTTGATTAGGAGTCTAAATCAATAGGTGATCGTGAGAGAAGTGTTACATTTACATGTAGTTCATAATTTTGTACAAGTTGACAAACTTGATATAACTTTATAAGTTTATGTTTTTTACCCCTTCACACAGAAATATTCACACTTCTGGTGAGGGTGAGATATTTCTATCTTGCCTGGATAAGACAACCTGCATGCACAGAACACAAACATGTACTAAACAAGAAATTGTTAATTGTAGATGTAAGAGATGTGACTGATTGATATCAACAGTTTAATGTAAATTAGATATGGTAGTAAGACAGTATCTTATCATCATTGTTTATACAAATCATTTTTAAATGCATTATGACAATACATTATCTCTACGGTTGTCTTTGTACCATGTTTAATGTAGATTATGTGTGATTTTTTCCATATTTGTCAGCATATATTTGTCTCATTAATCTATTTCTAACATGTTGGAGGTAAGAATTAGAAAAAGGGATAATGCCCTAATTTGAGGGTAGGACAGAGCAATATTTACCTTCCTTCGAGATTTCTGACAGTCTAATCCACGGGAAAGCCTCGGGATAAAAAGTAATGAATCTCCTCCTCAGGTAGAGATAGCTCTGTTTTACACTCAAGCTAGGGAAAGATCCTGTTAGTATCCTTGATATCAAATACATTAACAAAATATCCTTCTTTTTGTGTAGGTAGAGGATCCCCAAGGTCTTAGTGATGAGAGGGATGTGGTGGTGGATATCCTGGACGAGAATGACCCACCACAGTGTGACTCTCTTGTCCTCAATATCCCTGTCAGTCTTATAACATCTCCTGGAACCTTGATTGGAGCAGTCAACTGCTGGGATGGAGATATCCTGGCTGATAATAAAAAGCTGGTTTATGTACTAAGTGGACCCCTTGAGAATTGTAAGCTGTGCATTATTTCTCTATAGGAGTTTGTAATAACTCTAGGTGTCTATTTGTCTCATATTAATAATACCCTGCATTCATCTCTGCAGAATTATGCAATTCTGTACTTGTTGGAAAAATCTTTTTATGATAAATGTGTTAAATACCGTAAAAATTCCAATAATATTTATTAATCAACAGCTGTTTTTTTTCATATTTTCAAGAATAAGATTAAAACGCAAAAATTTTCATTATGAAAAAAGAAGTGATTAAGAATACCATGGTCATGACTATTTGGTGGAATTGACATCCATTTTAATTCAATTTTTGACAAAACTGCAAAAATTTAACCCTAGAAAATGATCATCTTTACTGCACATTTAACAGCTGACCAACAGATATTTTGCACAAATAGTTTGTACCCTACTTGTCTCATCAACCAGAGTGAGATCCAACGATTTTGCACAAAATCAATTTTCTATAAGGAAAATGTTCTTGATATCCTGCAGATTTGGTTGTCCGTGACAATGGCTCGATTGAACTGACCCAAAGTTTGCCACGAACTTCTACCACGACCTACTCAATGACCCTTAAAGTGTATGACCAGTTCATGATCAACAACAATACCCAGGTTGGACATCTGACCATCGCCATTGCGATTTTGGTTGACAGTAAGTATGTGACCACTGTTGATATCATCAACTCTGATAGCCTCCATTGTTATGATCATCTTTCCCAGAATATGTCCTTGTGGTTGGGTGGCGCATTGGTAACACACTCACCTTTTCCTAGTCGTCAGGTGTTCGTTCCCGGAATGGATGTGAAAAGGTATGGGGTCACCTGCCCGTCCACATGGGTTTTCCCTGAGTACTCTGGTTGCCTCCCACACTAAAACCCCTTGCTTTCATCTGAGCCAACGAGAGTGATTAATATAAGTTGGAAAAACTTGCTTTGCAATTGTTGTAAAATAAATAAAGTTTATTATTATTGTTATGTCCTCCCTTTCCCAGTTAAAAGATTTAACAACTTTCTCAGTAATTCATGGATATTTTTAGGCATTTGTATATATTACGACAACCACTGCTGTTCATTACCAGCTTAATATCAGAAATGGCTGTTATTTGTAAAATGTTTCTAACCCTTCCATTCCCAAAATGATTTATCCAAATTTGAAATTTATGTAAGTTAAATGAATGTTGTTTGGTGTTTCTAAAGACTAACTGGTCATCTTCAGATTGGCTTTTTTCCCTGTAAAGTTATTAAAATGACAACAGAAACAAGTTTTATTCTAATATTCAAGCAATTTTAGTTGGATATCAGCAAATTGTGATTTTAATTTTAAATTTGAAAAATTCTGAAGGATTACTGATAAAAAATTCAAAATTTTGTTGTATAGATCTAGAACACTACTGATAAACAGAGCTGTATGTATATACTTTCTTACTTCTTGCCTACAGCCAGCATCCCTCCGGTGTGTGACCGTATCATCACCACAGCAATCCTACAGGAGAAAGACCCTCAGGGCACCTGTGTGGGCCAGGAAGTGATCTGTGAAGACCCTACTGGGGGCAGTGTCACCATTATCGCCTCACAGGGGACAGGACTTGATGTGGCCGAGATCAAGAGCCGAGCCAGCGGCAGTACCAGTATACTTCCTCTAAATGTCTGTACTGCATCTAGCATCAAAAACCGTATCCAGGATTTCTCAGTAAGCACATTTGCTTAATTACGCTAACACAAAATTAAGAACTTTATGGTTTTAATAATTTGGAGATAGTTACAATCTTGAACAGAATTCAAGATTCATGTTGTTTCCACTTGTTCTTGCATCTAATGCCATGTTCCTTTGTTGATGCGTCATGGAAATGATAGTGCCTCATTAGCTTGATCTGATTTGCATATCCTTAACTGTTTTATCCCACCTGGCCTGAAGGGCTATGTGAGATTATGATCTGGTGTTGCGTCAGTCAGCTGTCCGTCTGTCTATTCGTCTAGAGCCAAATTTTCCATTTAAACGATATCTCTTCAATAAGAAAAAGTCCCAAAGTAATGATGTTTGGCTGACAGGTTCCATGTTTATATAAAAAAATTGATTAAGTGATTATAATAAAAAATAAAAAGGTTTTGACTATAAATTCTCTGCAGACTATAGGCTTAGATATAATTACAAATTAAAGCATGAAAGGAAATGTTTTGACTGAATATACATTGTATTAACAACATTAACCTGAGGATATGTGTATTTATTCTTCAGGTGTCTGTTATAGTCAGCAATGGTTTCGGTACTCAGACGGTTACCTGGACATTCAGTGTTGAGGATGAGAATGAACCGCCTTATTTTCTAAACTCCTTATTCAACATGACAGTATCAGAAAGCTCCCTTGTCGGTACAACGGTATTGATTCTGGAGACTGGAGACCCTGATTATGATGCAGTGTTTAAAGATGTCACAGTTTCCTATGATGGTATGTACAGTATCAACTCATCCTGGAGACTGACTGTCACATTACTCACTCTGGAGACTGACTGTCACTCTACTCACCCTGGAGACGGACTCTCACTCTACTCACTCTGGAGACTGACTCTCACTCTACTCACCCTGGAGACTGACTCTCACTCTACTCACCCTGGAGACTGACTCTCACTCTACTCACCCTGGAGACTGACTCTCACTCTACTCACTCTGGAGACTGACTCTCACTCTACTCACTCTGGAGACTGACTCTCACTCTACTCACTCTGGAGACTGACTCTCACTCTACTCACTCTGGAGACTGACTCTCACTCTACTCACTCTGGAGACTGACTCTCACTCTACTCACCCTGGAGACTGACTCTCACTCTACTCACACTGGAGACTGACTCTCACTCTACTCACCCTGAAGACTGACTCTCACTCTACTCACCCTGGAGACTGACTCTCACTCTACTCACCCTGGAGACCAACTCACATTACTCACCCTGGAGACAGACTCTCACTCTACTCACCCTGGAGACTGACTCTCACATTTCTCACCCTGAAGACTGACTTTCTACTCATGGTGAAGACTGGATCTCATATACCTCACATTGCAGATTGACTCTTACATTACTCATCCTGGAGACCAACTCTCATACTACCCACCCTGGTGACTGACCTTCCCATTACACACCCTGGTGATTGACTCTCACATTACACACCCTGGTGATTGACTCTCACATTACACACCCTGGTGATTGACTCTCACATTACACACCCTGAAGACTGACTCACTCTCACAGTGAAGATTGACTCTCAGATTCCTCATCCCGGAGACAGACTATCATATACCTCACCCTGGAGACAGACTATCATATACCTCACCCTGGAGACAGACTATCATATACCTCACCTTGGAGACAGAGTCTCACTTTACTTATCGTGGACAAACTGTTTGTGATATCATATTTGCCATGCAGAATCACATTTATAACATACACTATTACAATTATGATATACAATATCAAATATAATTAGGAAACCCGCTCATCTCTAACCAAGTGTGAACAAGAATACTTCACCCTGGGGAAAGAAAATCACAATCATGTATGTTTGTGATTCTATTGGATACGACAGACATCTGGAGATAGAATGCTGATATTTTAATCATAGATATTGACTGGTCATGATAATTGAATTAAAAATTCAAAAAGTCTGCTAATTAATGTTAACTTTTGAGACTTTCAGTTTGTTTAACTGTCCATATATTTTGTTTGTGTAACTTATTTCTAGCTTCCTTCCTTACTTAGGACCCAATGGTCACTGTCAGTTTTACATGTCCTACTGTTTCAGTGATCAATGTCCCAGACGATGTTGCAGTGCCTATAAGCTTCCTGCTTGATTGTTGTTTCCTTGTTACGGGTAAACTAAATGCTACGGAACAAGATGTCTATTTCTTCAACGTCACAGTAAGTACATTGCAAATATCTAAAAGCTGTGAGTTTTATTTCCTTTCTTTATTTATTTCTTGAAAATAACAAAAAAAAATAATTAAATTTAAATTTTGTGTTTAGCTCACAGATGGAGGAGGACTTTCAATAGCCCGAGTTGTGTCTATTTGGATTTCTGATCAGAATGAGGCTCCAGTATGCTCCCCAGCAACCTTGACAGAGTCAATTTCACTTTTGGTCCAGGAGAATGATGTTATAGGCCAACTCAATTGTTACGATTACGACAAAGATCCAAACAACAAGGAATTATTTTACCAGTCTAATGTTGGTATGTATACCTGTCTAATGTTGGTATGTATACCAGTCTAATGTTGGTATGTATACCTGTCTAATGTGGCTATGTATACCTGTCTAATGTGGCTATGTATACCTGTCTAATGTTGGTATGTATACCTGTCTAATGTTGGTATGTATACCAGTCTAATGTGGCTATGTATACCTGTCTAATGTGGCTATGTATACCAGTCTAATGTTGGTATGTATACCTGTCTAATGTGGCTATGTATACCTGTCTAATGTGGCTATGTATACCTGTCTAATGTTGGTATGTATACCTGTCTAATGTTGGTATGTATACCAGTCTAATGTTGGTATGTATACCTGTCTAATGTGGCTATGTATACCTGTCTAATGTGGCTATGTATACCTGTCTAATGTTGGTATGTATACCTGTCTAATGTTGGTATGTATACCAGTCTAATGTTGGTATGTATACCTGTCTAATGTGGCTATGTATACCTGTCTAATGTGGCTATGTATACCTGTCTAATGTTGGTATGTATACCTGTCTAATGTGGCTATGTATACCTGTCTAATGTGGCTATGTATACCTGTCTAATGTTGGTATGTATACCAGTCTAATGTTGGTATGTATACCTGTCTAATGTGGCTATGTATACCTGTCTAATGTGGCTATGTATACCTGTCTAATGTTGGTATGTATACCTGTCTAATGTTGGTATGTATACCAGTCTAATGTTGGTATGTATACCAGTCTAATGTTGGTATGTATACCAGTCTAATGTGGCTATGTATACCTGTCTATTGTTGGTATGTATACCAGTCTAATGTTGGTATGTATACCAGTCTAATGTTGGTATGTATACCAGTCTAATGTGGCTATGTATACCAGTCTAATGTTGGTATGTATACCAGTCTAATGTTGGTATGTATACCAGTCTAATGTTGGTATGTATACCAGCCTAATGTTGGTATGTATACCAGCCTAATGTGGCTATGTATACCAGCCTAATGTGGCTATGTATACCAGTCTAATGTTGGTATGTATACCAGTCTAATGTTGGTATGTATACCAGTCTAATGTTGGTATGTATACCAGCCTAATGTTGGTATGTATACCAGCCTAATGTGGCTATGTATACCAGCCTAATGTGGCTATGTATACCAGTCTAATGTTGGTATGTATACCAGTCTAATGTTGGTATGTATACCAGTCTAATGTTGGTATGTATACCAGCCTAATGTGGCTATGTATACCAGTCTAATGTTGGTATGTATACCAGCCTAATGTGGCTATGTATACCAGTCTATTGTGGCTATGTATACCAGTCTAATGTTGGTATGTATACCAGTCTAATGTTGGTATGTATACCAGTCTAATGTTGGTATGTATACCAGTCTAATGTTGGTATTTATACCAGTCTAATGTGGCTATGTATACCAGTCTAATGTGGCTATGTATACCAGTCTAATGTGGCTATGTATACCAGTCTAATGTGACTATGTATACCAGTCTAATGAGGCTAAGTATACCAGTCAAATGTGGCTATGTATACCAGTCTAATGTTGGTACGTATACCAGTCTAATGTTAGTATGTATACCAGTCTAATGTGACTATGTATACCAGCCTAATGTGGCTATGTATACCAGTCTAATGTTGGTATGTATACCAGCCTAATGTGGCTACGATACCAGCCTAATGTGGCTATGTATACCAGTCTAATGTTGGTACGTATACCAGTCTAATGTTAGTATGTATACCAGTCTAATGTGGCTATGTATACCAGTCTTATGTGGCTATGTATACCAGCCTAATGTGGCTATGTATACCAGTCTTATGTGGCTATGTATACCAGTCTAATGTTGGTATGTATACCAGTCTAATGTTGGTATGTATACCAGTCTATTGTTGGTATGTATACCTGTCTAATGTGGCTATGTATACCTGTCTAATGTGGCTATGTATACCTGTCTAATGTGGCTATGTATACCTGTCTAATGTGGCTATGTATACCAGTCTATTGTTGGTATGTATACCAGTCTAATGTTGGTATGTATACCAGTCTATTGTTGGTATGTATACCTGTCTAATGTGGCTATGTATACCTGTCTAATGTGGCTATGTATACCAGTCTTATGTGGCTATGTATACCAGCCTAATGTGGCTATGTATACCAGTCTAATGTGGCTATGTATACCAGTCTATTGTTGGTATGTATACCAGTCTAATGTTTGTAAGTTTGATTAAGGTCTTCTGTTATGAGATATATGTTTAGTGTTTTTCATTTAAACTATCACATAATGTATTCATCTGTCTGTTAAAGTATCTTGAGTCATTCTTCACCAATTTGGACGAGAGGAGAGAAATGTTTGGATGTAAACCTTTACTGACATACCTTCTTTGTTTTCCTGCCAGAGGTTGAATACTGACATTCATGTTTTACTCTGTTTCTGTATTTGTGGTTTTCTTACAGATTACTTCCACGTTTCTAACCAGGGCGAGCTGGTGATTAGTAGATCTCTTGACAGATTCATTCCACGTTACACAGTACTGGTTAATGTCCGAGATGGTGGTACACCTCCACTGTCCACCTCAGTGACCATCATAGTCAATGTCGACAGTAAGTATACTGATAATGTGCATGAGTTATCTCCCTTTGTGAGACAATTTTACTCCAAATAAGTTTTGTATTCTATAATATAACCAAATTCTTCCACATTCTGTTGAGTTTCATGATTGACAAATCCAAGAAAAAACAGTAAGTATTTTCATACATTTCTCTGATTTAATTTTCAGCTGCTATTAAGGCTGTCTGCCAGCCAGAAGTGCAGTACCCAAATGTCTGGGTCAAAGATCAGTGTGTTTCCTTGACGATGAACTGTGTTGACCCGACCTTACCTGGGCAGACGACACACCTAACTTACGCAGAAAGCGGGAATTATACCGCAGGCTTTAGACAGATCACATCACCAAAGGGACAATACCAGCTTTGTTATAACCTTGTTCAGAGTGGAAGTTTCGGGGTAAGGAAAATTTAAGTTAAGATTATGGCCCCAGAAGGCTCATAAAATTGATGAAGTATAATTATGTTCACTGTACCCTTTCCTCATCATTAAAAAATAGTTCTTAGGGGTTTTTTTTATTAAATGTTTGGAGAGCAATTAATTACAGGCAAATTGTCAAACTTATATAGTTACCTAAAATGAAAAAAAAATAAGAGAAAATTCAAATATGTTAGGATAAAGATAATGAAGGATGAAATACCATTTAAGGATATTTCCCAAATTTAATTACAATTTGATTGAAAGTGAACATTTAGAATAAGTACTTTGTTACACTACATGATCACCTGAGAAAAAAGAGAAACAGTTTTACCTGTCAATTTATCATTATCTCTGATCCATATTGATTATTGATTATTGTACCTGTTCATAATAAGATTATCCATTGTTAGAACTTTGTAGTATCAGTTTTTGGCCAGTTAATTTATCTAAGTCTTTATTTCCTTCTGTAGATGACAACAGTTGTTGTCTGGCTTTATCGTCGTATTTCAATGTTTACAGATGACAGTATCGGTGTTTAATGGTTTGGCGTACTACATGTACCACCAACCATTAGATGTGAAATATGACCAGTCCAATCCAGTATTCAGCAAAACGACGTACTATGTTGGTGTACAAGAAACCCATATAATAGGACAGCCTATTACGACAGTGAATGCCACTACAGCCTCGTCCAGCGGCTCGATAGTGTATTCCATAACAGGTATGTATTGTCCAATCACAAGCTGTAGGGTCCTGTTTTAATGTGATACAGAACTTTTTATATGTTATTAACTTAACTTACAACATCAGCTGATATAAATGATTCTTATTGGCCTGGATGTAATTGGCAAAGAACCTAAATAATGTGTTAGAGACATGGAGTTCCCACATGTTTGGATAGGTGACCCTATACCTTTCAAGTCCAGTTAGGGAACCAAACCTTGGTCATGTAGATGAAAGACGAGTGCATCACCACTCATCACCAAACTTGTATCTTATGTTGATTACATATTGATGAGTAGGCTGAGATAAGTCCCTGTTGAATAAAGGATTTGAGGTCAGGTGATAGTTAAATCTGACCTAAGTCTATAAAAGTCAAACTACATAAAATGGTGAAATCATGAACTTACTGTTTCAAACAAATTCTTCTAGCCAGGTCGTATTTAGATTTGATTGACAAGTTGTTGTGTATATCACACATTTTTTATACTGCCGATCTTCTTTTCATTCGGTTTCCTAATATATTGTTGTACAAATTTTTCAGTCTCATTCAACTCACTTCTTTAAAGGCATAGAGATAAATAAGACTATACCATTAACAAAAGTTGATGAAAGTTTCTATTTTGACACATATAGAAAAGTTTCTTGTACCCTACAATGTGCTATGTTCTACCCTGGAGTATTTTTATTCCATAGGACGGACTTTGTCAAAAGTGAATTGTACTTTTATACACAAGGATGGACCTAGTCCAATATGAATCGTATTTATATTCCTCAAGTAGGGACTGGTCCAATATGAATAATCTATTTGTTCCACAGGAGGGACCTGGTCCAATGTTACCAATATTTTCCTTCTTGATTCATCAACTGGGGCCATTACTACACTGGTAGGACTGAGGAGTTATGCAGCACAGACCATTGTTTTGGAGATACAGGTCAGGTGCCCTACTTTAAGACAAGTAATGGACACTATTGTCCTAGTTAATGTACCTTTAGGACATTGATAAGTGAAGATCAATATTAATGTTTGTCAACATTTTTGTATAAACGTTTGTACTTTATATGTGAACTTTTAGGAAGATGTCTTTGTCTCAGATAGTTTTAGATGAAAAGTGATTGGTTTTTTTCCTGCCCCACCCCCCACCCCCCAGCATTTTATGGGGGAGATCATTTTCTTTCTTTTTCCATTTTTTCATACCAACATGAAATTTGTGTCACCTGACTACTGGTAAAAAAAAATTATGAAATATATATCTTGGAAAAACAGTTTTCAATATTGATTATCTTGACAGCTGTCAGATAGTTGATGATATGCATTCGGGATACACATACTGCCTGTAGGTGTCCAAAATCCTGTCAAATCTACAAGGAAAATATGTATATGTGAAACAAAAAATATGTTTAAACATGTTTCTGAATTCATCAGGAAAACTTTTCTTCTGTAGGCATTGAATGACTTCTCCTTGTTGCGGTCCACTGCTAGGGTGGAGATTTCTGTTACTGACATCAACGAAGTACCCAGCTGTATATATCGAGATGGAATAGTTGGTAACAGTGTTTCAGTGGGTGTGGATGATGTTGTTGGGACATCAATGTTACACATACAGTGTACGGACTATGACATCATAGCAGAAAACAAACAGCTCTCAGCTGTCCTCACCTATACTCCTTCAGGTAAGTTCTCAGCTATCCTCACCTATACTCCTTCAGGTAAGCTCTCGCCTATCCTCACCTATGCTCCTTCAGGTAAGCTCTCAGCTGTCCTCACCTATGCTCCTTCAGGTAAGCTCTCAGCTGTCCTCACCTATGCTCCTTCAGGTAAGCTATCAGCTGTCCTCACCTATACTCCTTCAGGTAAGCTATCAGCTGTCCTCACCTATACTCCTTCAGGTAAGCTCTCAGCTGTCCTCACTTATACTCCTTCAGGTAAGCTCTCAGCTGTCCTCACCTATGCTCCTTCAGGTAAGCTCTCAGCTGTCCTCACTTATACTCCTTCAGGTAAGCTCTCAGCTGTCCTCACCTATACTCCTTCAGGTAAGCTCTCAGCTGTCCTCACTTATACTCCTTCAGGTAAGCTCTCAGCTGTCCTCACCTATGCTCCTTCAGGTAAGCTCTCAGCTGTCCTCACCTATATTCCTTCAGGTAAGCTCTCAGCTGTCCTCACCTATGCTCCTTCAGGTAAGCTCACAGCTGTCCTCGCCTATACTTCCTCAGGTAAGCTGTCAGCTGTCCTCACCTATACTCCTTCAGGTAAGCTCTCAGCTGTCCTCACCTATACTCCCTCAAGTAAGCTCTCAGCTGTCCTTGCCTAAACTCCATCATGTAAGCTTTTTGCCATCATCACTTATAAGATAAGTGCTCTTTCATCCATACCTGTACATCTGCAGATAAGCTCTTGGCCCTCCCTACCAATAACCTTCCCTCAAGTTAGCATCCTGCCATCCTCATAGGTCAGTTATTAGTTGTTTTGACCTATGATACTCTCTGGTAAGCTTCCTGCCATTCTCAGCTATATTCCTGCAGTAACTACTTGGTCATCCCCACCTGTAATACTGCTGCCTGCGAGCTTCCTAACTTCTCAACTATACTCCTGCAGGTAAGCTCTTGGCTTTACACACTTATAATATGCACAGGGGAAACTTCCAGCCATCCTCAGCTTTACTTCCTGAGGTAAGCTCTCAGCCATCTCCACCTATAATCTCCAACAGGTAAACTTACCGACATCCTCAGCTATACTTTGGTAGGTAAGCTCTCGGCTGTCCTCACCTCTAATTCATCCTCAGGTAAGCTTCCATCCATCCTCATCTATACTTTAGCAGGTAAGCTCTCGGCTGTCCTCACCTCTAATTCATCCTCAGGTAAGCTTCCATCCATCCTCATCTATACTTTTACAGGTAAGGTTTCAGCCATCCCCACCTATATTCACCAGCAGGTAAGCTTTCCACCATCCTCAACTATACTTCCTGAGGTAAGCTCTCGGCTGTCCTCACCTCTAATTCATCCTCAGGTAAGCTTCCATCCATCCTCATCTATACTTTAGCAGGTAAGGTTTCAGCTATCCCCCAGATATAATCACCAGCAGGTAAGCTTTCCACCAGCCTCAACTATACTTCCTGAGGTAAGCTCTTGGCCATCCCCACCTATAATCACCAACAGGTATACTTACCGACATCCTCAGCTATAATTTGGTAGTTAAGCTCTCGGCTGTCCTCACCTCTAATTCATCCTCAAGTAAGCTTCCATCCATCCTCATCTATACTTTAGCAGGTAAGGTTTCAGCTATCCCCACCTATAATCACCAACAGGTAAGCTTTCCACCAGCCTCAGCTTTACTTTGGTAGGTAAGCTCTCGGCTGTCCTCACCTCTAATTCATCCTCAGGTAAGCTTCCATCCATCCTCATCTATACTTTAGCAGGTAAGGTTTCAGCTATCCCCCACCTATAATCACCAACAGGTAAGCTTTCCACCAGCCTCAGCTTTACTTTGGTAGGTAAGCTCTCGGCTGTCCTCACGTCTAATTCATCCTCAGGTAAGCTTCCATCCATCCTCATCTGTACTTTTGCAGGTAAGGTTTCAGCCATCCCCACCTATAGTCACCAACAGGTAAGCTTTCCACCAGCCTCAGCTATACTCAGGCAGGTAAGCTCTCAGTTGTTCTCACCTATACTTCCCAGGTAAGCTTCCCTCCATCCTCAACTATACTCTGTCAGCTGTCTCAAATTAGTTCTGGGCTCAGAACAGATTATACTGATTTTGAGATAAAAGTAAAACAAGACTGAGTAGAGTGAAAGTTATGATTTACCTTTGTACATTCCAGATACTGATGTGTTCATACTTGAGGAGCAAAATGGAGAATACATCGTCAAAACAAAGACATTGCTACCTGTTCGGACAGGGACCTATGACCTTACACTGGTCATCTCTGATGCAGCCACACCACCCCTAAGTGTACAGATTCTTAGACGGGTTGTAGTTGACTGTAAGTTATAAACCCACAGCTATAATAAATATAGTGATAATATGATTGGGATGTTCAAATTGACAGGCTTATTTTCATCAGTTGAAAGTCTCCAGTACTGCCTTTTAAAATTCTGCTTCTAAGTCACATGTATTACTACCACAAATTGTTGGCCTAATTCAACTCCCAAAGCATCAATTATTCATTCCAACTGTTCCACACTTGGTATAACACTTTAGAATGTTTTGATTGGCTGACAGGGTGAACTTTGACAACAGTAGCACTTCATGCACTCATAGAAATTAGTACATAAAATTGTTTTGTAATAATTTAGTTTTTTATTTTGATTTTTATCTTTTTTATCCATTGTGTACGTGAAACTTGTCAAATCTGTATCTCACCCTGGTTTTATTTTGGATTTGGTGATATGGAAATGTTTGAAATCATATTGTTAAACCAGTTCCCACCCCTTTCTAATTCACTCAATATTTCTTTATGAATGTGATACACATGACAAGTACTGAAAGTACTGGTACATATTTTCCAAATGTGTTTTCTTTGATTCAGTACTGCCCTCATCTCTGTGTTTCATGTTTTTTTTTATCCCAATGTGTTTTCTGTGTTCCAGTACTGCTCCTGTAGTTTATGTGCTATCTCCCACATGTGTTTTTTTATGTTTCAGTACTGCCACCAGCCCCTTTGTTCAGTGCCTTTCCGATCAACAGTACAGTGATCCAAGTAGAGTGGCAATATGAAAGAGCTGATTACTACGGGGTGACCACTAGTTTTGTTCTGGTGGCTGTGTCCAGTTCTGACCGACACACATTTGTGACCCAACCTGACCAAGAAGTGACCCAGAGTCTCATCACCAGACTTATCCCTGAGATGGAGTACAGTGTGGAACTGACAAGCGTCACAAATTATGGCAATGTTACTGCTTCATCAGTCACTGTAATAATGCCAGGTATTTTATATCTAAAACTACAATATCTTACTGATTTTTGTTATTTGCTACATCTAACAATTTGAATACCCCTCTGACTATGTGTCTTAAGCCATCATTCTTTGATATTTATAAAAAAAAAAGGTTATGCTTTATTCTGTCAAAGTACAACCCATTTGCAAGGTTTCAAGCCTTGATTGTGTTTAGGCAAGTTATAGATCTTTGCAGACAAATTTTCTATTAAATATTATTGCAGGTGTGCTCTTGTGATTTTAAAATGGGTGACAGGTGGCCATATTGGATTTTGGCTATGAAAGTTTTTATCGTTATTTCTTTCAAAGGACTGGATGGATCTTTTTCAAATTTCATGAGCAGGTTTCCCTTAAATCAAAGTTGTGCCCTTTTGATTTTGTGACAGAAGAGAAAAACAAAATTGTGGATAGGCAACCATCTTGAATTTGACAGTAAATAAAATACTTACTGTCTTTTTTAAGAGAAATTTTAAAAAATTTTGTATAATAAATAGAAAAGAGAGAGAATAACATCGTTGGAAACGCATGAGACACTGTTCTGATGATAAGAGAATAAGGAAAAAGATCCCAATTGTAAAGAGCAATTATAGATGAAGCAGTGGTGGATGTAAAGATCTATAGATAAAAATTTCAATGGTACAAGTTTTACATTTATGATTTAGAGTTATTTGCTGTCCCTTGATAATTGTGATTGTATTAATGTTGTTCCTTCACAGCTGTACCAATCCTGTCCAGTTTAATGATGTCCCTGCGGTTACCAGGACAACAGTTCCTCCAGACTCTGCTTGACGAAAATTCCTATGACTTCGTTACATTCAAGAGATTGGTAGAAGAAAATGTGAGTTGGTCACACAAATCTTATCAAAATCATGGAGACCTTACAAAGATCCATTAGAATCACCAAATGCCAACTAACTTCTCCGATATACATGTGAAGTTGAGAGTACAGGTCACTTTACTACTCTTGGCTAGTGGGAATTTTCCATTAGTCGAGCAGTAGAGTGTCCCGCTAGTTCGAACCCCAGCGACGGCAGGGTATTTTTCATTACTCCTTCCTGTTACATACAGATGTCTTTTTCTATCATCCAATCAGAAATCTCTCTGAGGTTTCGATTCTTGGCATGCTGTTTTCGATCATTTTTAAACTATTTTACAGCTGAATTATTTAATGAAATAAGAAATAAAAGAATAAAAAAGATGAAATATATTTTAGAGAAATATAAATTTCCTTTACTCAGGAATATTAATGGGGGCCTGACACATGTACTGATATTTAAATTAAATCTTGTCCAAAAATGATTTCTCCTTGATACTATTATTGCTGTTGTTGTTTGCTTCCAGTTTGATAGTGTAATGAAGAGGATTGCTGGTTACCTGTCTGTGGGTGTGGTCTCCTTCAGGTAAACATACATTACAGTTCTATCTTCATTACATCTCGTGATAGTTACTTACTGAAGTACATGTACAATGTATTTACTTTCTGATAATATTCTCACAATCTATTATTTACATTTTGTAAGCATAATGGGTCTAAGTTATAAATTTACTTTCTTCAGGGAAGGAAGTGTGATTGTGGATGCTGTAGTGACTATGAATCAGTCTGGCACCATCGACAGTTTCTCCAACACTTTCCAGTCACAGATGCAGACAGGCTGGGTCGGCAACATGTCTGTTGATCCACAGTATTTTGTTGTAAACTCTGGAGGTAATGTACAGTATCTTAGCTGAATGCAAATCCTTCAAGGAATGATTTTTGAAAAAAAAATTGTGACGTTTTCATTTTAATTAAGGCCTATAAAGATTTTTGTAGTTACAATTGAACTTAACAGAGCTTTTGAATTTTTTGTTTTTAAATTTAGATGTTGTTCTTGAAATGATATGGTAACTGAAAGAAATTGAAGCCTTTTCTTCATAATTGCTTTGTTGACATCTTGATCTGTGAATAACTACCTAGATAATTAAGGTACAATATTGCAATTGTCATTTGCGATTTACTTCATTATTTATATTGAAGTATTTCAGTCATGACAATCAAAACTTAAAATGTTGAGTACTGTGACAAGAACTACACAAAAATAAGAGAGTGTGTAATCACTACATATAGATCATTTGAATTTATCAATTTACTTTTAACAACAGTTCTCACCAAGCACCTTGTTGCACCATTACTGACCTGGCTTTAGGTCTGAAACTTTAGGGCTGGAATTTTGCTAACAGTAATGTTAGACATCAAATTTTAATTGGAAGACAATTTCTTCAAAGTGATAGGTTTGTTGATTTTTTCACCTCTTGACCTTTCTCTTGTGTACCAATCTGTAGATGGCTACATCAGGATCACTGACATGTCCCTGAACACAACAAATATACACAACAACATGGATGTGGCTTTTGTCTGCTCCGTTGACATCATAGGAGCTGTAGGCACTGTCCAAAGTCGGTGGACATTCAACGGATCTGTCATCCGGCCTAACACATCACCTAGGTGGCACATTTCAGAAGAACCAATTGATCCAAACAAACCGTCTCAGAAGACATATAAAATGGTTGTCAGTCCTATAGTTACTCATGATACAGGTATGTTCTGTTCAATTTATGGGTGAAATGTTTTATTTTCTTTGAAGAATAGATTATTTTTCATTTTGTTGTTTCACTTATAAAATATATCTGCTTCTCAGTGACTGCCAGGATAGAGAAAATTGCTCTTCACCACATTCGGTAGATTGCCAAATCAAATATTTCATATCCATAATCCTACATTGGTAGGTATTTTGTCATGCTGGTTCAAAGTCCAAGATGGGTACTCTGAAATTTCAGCTTCAATTGCGAGTGCTAGGACACTGCTCAGCTTATCAAGCAGACAAATGATTTTTGGGGAACAATTCTTCTATGATTCTGATCAGGGTCTCGGTTATATATGTGTACAATGTTTCTGTGATTGCATTGATCAGAAAATTTTAATTATGGAGGACAATATGGAATCTGAAACTGCATCTGTGATCTGTTGCTCACTGGGTAGTTAGAGTTAACCAGTGCTTAGTGAAAAATTTATATGTTGCCTTTTTGAAAGAACAAGAAAGTTGAAGGCAAAATTAAAACTCAAACTTTATCGATCTGTCCTGTTTCAACAAATATACAGCATTTAAATGATAATATATGTTCCAAATTGGCTGGATTCGTGTTTGAAACTTGTCACTAACCATTGTTTATCCTTTATCAGCCTTTGAACAACCAAAGTCTAGTGATTTACAACTCCTTTGGTCCTCATTTTATACTATCTGCAGTCTACTGTGGATTCATTTTATTTCGTGGGGGTCCAATTTTCGTTGTTTTCGTGGATGAGCAAATCCACGAATTTAAAAACACAACGAAATATGAACTACTTACTAACGTAATTTTGAAATTGAAATCTTTGCCGACACCGGAAACGTCCACCGGTAATGACAGAAGCCCCGTAATTAGTCGGGAGTCGGGTAGTCTGAGGCTCGACATGGATACGCTAAATTGGTGTCAACGATATATAATTATATATTATTAAACATAACAAAGGGTAAGTATGATGGGATCGCAGTCGTTAGCGACACTGTGGACACTAGGCTTGATCGGACCATCCTGTCGATTGAAGATTATGTTCACAATAATTATTAATAATGCAGATCTTGTTTACACACCTGTTTACACACATAGTCCAATCGATACGCGTGGTGTTTTCATATGACTGCGGTACACCGACTGATCAGCACACAATGTTTATCCACTGAAAACAATTGTTTCTGATAATTACCGATTGATTACACGCCAGGTTATATACTGATTTGTTGTTTGATATTTTAATGCGAGACTGTTGTAAACAGCGTTATAAAAACACAGGACGCCATCTTGAAAAAAAAAACGTTCTTTTATTCTTGTCATTAGTGTTAATTCCCGTGAACATAGCCTTAATACAAACAGAAAAAAATTCGACTGGAAGCAAAAGAGAAAATTCTAACGTTTTTATTTTTTTCCCACAAAATCAAAAATCCACGAATTTATGAGTCCACGAAACTGTCTAATTTGTAGAAACAACGAAAATTGAACCCAACGAAAATAAATGAATCCACAGTAATAAGAATCAGGTTGACAAGAGGTGATGACCTTTTACAGATGTGTATGTCTGATCTGCTACCATACCTCAATAAAACTATGTTCCTTTTTAGGCAAGTATGAGTGTCAAGTCTATGATGACACGGGACTGTCCAGTCAGCAGTCACTGATGGTGGAAGTCATAGCCCAGCCACAGCTGACCATTTACCCCAGGACTCTGACAGTGGTCAGCGATCAGAGTATGAATGTCACTTGTGAGATACTCCAGCCTCTTAATTATCATGCCTTCTTCACCTGGTACAAGGACGGTTCCCGTTTTACTGGTTCTTCAGGTATAACTCTACATCTAAATCTGAAACAAGTTTTAAGTACTATTAATACAAGAGTTTCACCTGTGTTTAATATATTCAGATATATATGTTTTTATGTGTATTTACAATAAACAATTCCATAGACAAATTCCAAAGGCTGAAGAGACTCATTTTTTAGTTAACTGATTCCAAAGTCTGGAAGAAATTTTCCGGGAATGATGTAATTTCAGAATAATTGTGCCAAAATTTTTTTTGAACAGTGAACACAAAAAATTTGATTTTGTTATTATATCATGAATTACTTTCCCTTAAAAATTGTTGGTTTTCACTCCCCCATCCCTGACTGGAATTGTCTTATTTCAGGTGTCCAGTTTCTTCTCCTATCATCTCACACTGAAATGTTAGTGATCAGAAAGGTCACTGATGATGCTGAGTATTCATGTGAGGCTACCAATGTGGCCGGAACTGGACCTAGACTGACCATGAAACTGACCGTCAGACCACCAAATGGTATGCTCATGACCAATAACTTTTGATTTCAGCTATTTAACTCTATAAGAAGAGATCTTGTGTTTATAAGGGTTGGTATAATAGAGCTGTGGCAAACCTAGTATTGTATTTGTTATATAACAGAAATCATATACAATGAAATATGAATATTGTATTATCTTATAAAACGATGATGTGTTGTTGTTTGATAGCGATTGTGTGCTCTCGGGAGACAGATGCCCAGGGAACTGAATGGACAGAGACAATCGCTGGAGGGAAGGAAATACGAAATTGCCCCACAGAACTGGATGGTAAATATCATTTTTATGTCCTCACAAAGGGAGAGCACATAGTTGCTGCTTTGTCTGTCTGTCTGTCCACATTCTTCATTGCCCTTTTTTATTTTCTATACTTAAATTTTGTCTGGAACATTACACTAAAACTGTAAGAGGTATAAACAGGAAACTTTATAGGTAGATAGATCTCAACAAGGAGAGGTGCAATGCACCAGAACCATCACTCTTTTTTGCGATATGTTGGAGTTATTGCCCTTTATTTTTCATACTTACCCAGTAAATATTGACTGGAGCATTACACTTAAAGCATTAGAGGTATTTACATGAAACTTGATGGGTAGATAGATCTCAACAAGAAGGAGGACAGTTCACTAGAATCATAACTCTCTTATTGCCCTTTGTTACTTTTCATACTTAAATTTTGTCCCAATCAGGGAGCATAACCTGTCTGTGATGGCTCTTGTATCTATCTAAAAACAGATTGTTAAACTTCCTCATTGTTTTCCCCTAAAATGGCTTTGGATATTTTCTTTCCTTCCTTGTGACAATCACTTTTTATCCAGTCAGCTGAGATATGGAGAGATATCGTAAGATATTGAAAGATTTCATATGCCTATTTGAAAATATATGTGTATATTAGGGTATGATTTATATAATGATAAAGATGTAAAATTTCAGGATATCACAAGTTTTTAGTTCTTGCTGACCTATTTACTTTAGTTTCTAATCAAGACCTAAACTTTCATGCAAGATAAATATGTTAATGAATGGTTCATAAGCTAGATGATGTCATTTCCCTGTAGAGAGAGTTATCATGTAGATGTTAATACTGATTCTTCCTGGTGACAAGGGCTGAGTCTATGTATAAATCTGATAAAATTGAACTGTATATATTAAGATTAGATATAAGAAAAAAGTCTTTATGTGGATGAATTAATGGTCACTTATCCTTTCCTCTCACAGGTACAGTGGAACGTGTCTGTTCCTCTACAGGTGTGTGGGGGTCACCTGACTACAGTGGGTGTGTCAGAGTAGATCTGTCAGAACTTGAGGTTCAGGTAAACATGCAAGGCTGTGAATCGATGACGTTGTTATGGAAACAAAAAACTTTAAGACTGTATATCTGACTGAAAAGTCATGCAATTTTTGTCTAGATCTCAGATACATTAATAAGTAACGTCACTTTCACTTTCATTTTAATTTTTATGCAATGTTTTTGAGTCCGATGAAGAAGATCTTGTAAGATCCTGTATTGGTTAATAAAATTTACTTAAATAATTAACTTAACTTGTAACCATATCCTGTGTTGATCTTTGCACCTCATTTATGAATTACATCTTGCCACACTCAATGAAACAAGAGAGCATGTGGTAGAAATTTCACCTGGTATACACATCTATTGAGGAGTCACATAAAAACGTTTTCATTTTTAATATTGAATTTAAATCCTAATTTTTGAAATTTATGTGATAAACAATTATTCTAATGAAAACATTTTTTTGACCACAAGTCTTCAGTATGATGCAATTTATTGAACATAGTATTAATGTAACTTTTAATGCATTTTCTGTTGTAGACTGGCAAGATGAAGGAAGGAGTCGAGATTACCTCCCCTGAGACCTCTCTAGTGTCACTGTCTGATATCACAGGTCAGGGTCATTCACTAAACAGTGGGGACATGGATGCTTGTGTGAATATACTGAGCAATGTCCTACATGTTAGTGAACGTGACAACAATTTAGTCACTGCCAATGCAATAGAGGTAAATATCTGATCATATCACACTGTAAAGTTTGTTTGTCTCGGGTTAAAATTATTGAAGGAGTAAACAAACAATGAAAAGCAATGTTGTAAAACAGGAATATAAAATTCAATTCCAAATCCAGGTCACAAAAATTGTTTGATTTTTTGGTCTTTTCTCAAAACACCAAAATTAATTTAACTTTACTAAACATTGATTTCTTAACTTTAAATGCTGTAATTCAGACATACCTTTTCAGCTAATTGCAAATCAAATGGTATTCAAAAGGAACAAGATGCTTAAATACCAAAATGAGTTATAAAGTGAATAGCCAATTTTAAAAACAAAAGTCTTGTCCGTAAGCAATTTCCAATTAAAAATTTAAAATCGAAAGATTCAATCTATGAATCTGAAGTACTATAAATTGAAGGGATTTTCAAGTTTTATTGGAACTCAAGAATTAAGGTTCTAGTGTTTTGTGTAGATTATAGGGTCATGATGAAAATTTTACCATAATTGAGACATGAATTTTATTTATGTTATCAGGCCTTTGCTAACTCGGCAAACAATATGCTGGATGATAACAACAAGCCAGCCTGGCAGTTACAGAAGCAACGGGTAAGGAGAGCCTGCTTAGAATTACTGAGAAATAATTCTGGATTTTCATAAAATGTGAAAAAAAGTTATTAAGTTCAATGATGTTATATTTTCGGCAATGAAATATGTTTTTTGTTAAAAATTCAGTATTGAATTAAAATTTCATTTGTTTACTTAATGTTTATTTTTCCTGTTGTTTATCTGTTTTGTAGAATGGGAAAGGTGTATCTGGGCTGATGCAGGTTGCCACAGAGTTTGGCAAAGTTGGCACCAAGATGGGGGACACAACACAGAATTTCAACCAACAGGTAGCCAGACCTAACCTTGGTAAGTATATCCAGACCATTCATTGTTAATACCTGACCATCTACAAAGCTTTAGTGTTGGGTTTCTAGTTTCTTGCCAAACACAGACTGTTTGAACATTTATATATTTGATAACATCCAATAAAATCCACTTTGAATTGGGATTTAGAAATTTAAACGTGTATTTTGTGCTGAGATGATGCAATATTGAATATACTGATACCTGGAAATGATATTCAAGATCTTATTTAAGTCAGTAATGTATAAGAATTATTTGTGAACGTGCAGTGATCTCTAGTGAGCCAGTACTTAGAGATATTATGTACTTTTGTGTGTCTTTGTGTGTCTTCAGTGATAACTGTGGGTAGAACAGATCCTCAGGACTTTGTGTTCCCTGATCGTTCCCTCACTCTACCTGACTGGGCCAGTACCTCCACTACCAGTGGGGTCATTAAGCAGGATAAGATCACCAGTAGCCTAGGGACTGGTATGGCTTTCGTATTATACAGATTCTATTTTCTATAATGTATTACAGAGTTTAATTAAAATCTTAATTCGTTTATTTCTGATTACTAGAAACACATTCCCTAGAAAAAAATATGTTGTACAAACCTATGATACTTCTTTGAATTGCCTTCATATGTCACTTCCTAACCAAGGGAAGACACATTTTATATTTTCAAATAGCTTTCATCGTTATACATACTTACATATTTTCTTGATTTCTGCACAATTTGTAGTTTCACATTGGTAGGTTTGAAGTAAAAATGTTGAGATATAGTTGAACAAGAGAACAGTGGTCTGTAAATTTGAAGTTAAGATTTTTAATCAAGTCCAGTTCCATAATACTATCAAACTTATACACAGAGTTCTTACTTGTAAGACAGGTATACAAGCTGTGGAATTTTACATGATTCATTTTTAATTGCAGCCCAGAAGATTGGATTTAGTGGAATCTTGTACAGAAACATTTCCAATCTAATGCATACCTACCTCCTCAGTAACAAGTAAGTCACATACCTACCTCCTCAGTAACAAGTAAGTCATATACCTACTTTCAGTAACAAGTAGGTCACATACCTATCTCCTCAGTAACAAGTAAGTCACATACCTACCTCCTCAGTAACAAGTAAGTTACATACTTACTTCCTCAGTAACAGGTAAGTCACTTACCTACCTCCTCAGTCATAAGTCACATACCTACCTCCTCAGTAACAAGTAAGTCATATACCTACTTTCAGTAACAAGTAAGTCACATACCTACCTCCTCAGTAACAAGTAAGTCACATACCTACCTCCTCATTGACAAGTAAGTCACATACTTACCTCCTCCGTAACAAGTATGTCACATACTTACCTCCTCAGTAACAAGTTAGTCACGTACCTACCTCCTCATTGACAAGTAAGTCAAATGCCTACTTCCTTAATTCAAAGTTATTGAAATAAATTTATACATATGACCTCATTGACATATGAGACTCATTCATCCCTCATTGACAAGTAAATAGATCATATATATATAGATAAATCAATGACAGGGGGGGTTATTCCCCTTTCTAACATCTCCACTATTGTATGGATACCTGTATTATTTTAGTTCATTTCCTTGTTGTTATGTCTAGATTCCATTAATCAGATCCCTTGATGTTCTCCCTGTCTCCCTTTCCCTCCACTAGATAAAAACTTCTGTTTTGAAAATAAATACTTCAAAAGAATCATATTTGTATAATGTCAATGTTTACAGTGACGTGGAGGATGCAGATGATAAATTTGATGTGAATTCAGATATCCTAGATATTGCCATAGTACCTGCCTTGTCGGGAATCGACAACCTGGTGGAAATTACTTTCCCTCACACTTTGGTGAGTCTTTGTTTGGTCTTCTTTCATGGATATATTATTAAACTTTGAAAATGATGAATCAGTGCATGAAAATGATGATAATTTTATGTTTTGGCTATTTGTTGTGGCCCTTACTGTGGAAATAAAACACTTTTGGAAACATCTTTGTTGAAAAGATTATTTTTGAAGATTGAACATAAAAATAGGAAAAAAAACATTAGAATTTTATTATACTTCAGTTTTTTATTAAAAGCTTAATTCACAAATTTTAGAAGCATTTTTGAAAATGAAAATTAATGTAAGTGTTTTTCTATGTTTTCAGACAAACTATTCCTCACCATCTTGTGTGTTCTGGGATTTCACTGTACCGTAAGTATCATATTTACTTACTGTTAAGAATACTGTACCCAGAACATTGATATCCATTTCCTAACACTCGGTCATCCTGGCCGTCAGAAAGTGTTAAAACATTCCTTCAGGATATTTTGCAGCTTTGGAATACCATATTTTCAGCATTATAAGCATTCATAAGCTTATATACCGGTGTGGTTTATACGTAGAGGAAAAAAATGTTTGTTTACATAAAACAAAAACATCAGAATGAGAAAAAAACCAATTCTTAGATTTCGACGTTGATAGCAATACTATCGTATGGATGAGACGATGCTCTGGTCTGATTTATAGATAAATTTATTAAGCCTTTCAATTGGCCTGGCCTTGTGCAATGGTGACTTTTAGTGCAACGGTATTGTTGTTCTATACTGTTCTCTGTAGGGCTTTAATCCTCTCTAGGGCGGGGTTGTATTCATGAAACTCTGTCTTGGACTGATCGGAGTCCATGTAGCACCTGATAGCCCTGCGATGATCCCCTAAAGTTTCATAACAGATCCCCAGTAGTGTGTGAATGGTCCAGTTGGTGTGTCCTCCCTCTAGGTAATCATACTTTGCAACTATCAGACTACGTATCGCTGCATCACAACATGCAGTGTCCCCAAGCTCATGGCAACACAGGAAGGACAGAAAGAAAGCATAGGGTAGTGCTGGAATGTAGATACCAACCGGGCTCTTTGATACCTCAGGCTGTAGCTGAGGAAGGTAAAAGGTTTCCTTCGCGAAGAAAAGTGATTTCGTGAATGTTTTCTTAAGCTTGTGAATTAGAGTATAACCTTTCCCACAGTAGCTCTGTATGTATCTTGCTTTTTGTTCCGACGGCAGCAGCAGTTGACTTTTCATGTGATATTGAGGCTGTGATGTTACATAGCTGCACAATCTCAAAGATTTATTGTAGTTTCCAGACATAAAGTAAAAATTTGCCAAGTAGCAAAGTTCTGTTCCTACTGAAGAACAAAGTATCAAATGGTGTTCACATTTACCCAGAGTCTGGTACCGAGTCTTGTTGCTTGTTGTTCTAGCAATATGGTCTGGATTTGCCTTCCTCTGAGTCAGCTGCAAGAGTAGACTATTCATAAAACTAAAAGCTGTTACTTCCTCCACCTCCGTTTCTGACTTCCTCAATAAGTTCAATGCTTTAGTCAGACACCGAGTAAGATCAGACCCACTAGGCTGGCTAATGGTTGCTAGTTTTACTATGAGCCCCATGTCCCTGTGATATTCTATTTCCTTTTCAGTGTGTGGATGCACAAGTTCAGTTATTGTGTTTGCATCGCTAATACTTTCCAGTATATTTGGTCGGAAGAATTTCTCATGCGAAAGACACAGTAACTTCATTCCGTGGAAAATTGTGAGGACATCAAAAAGTTTCTGTTGATTTCGTCCACGGAGTTTCTCCTGGAACATATCGTCGGATGGGATGAAGTAGTTCGGACAACATTCCTTCTGAGCCCATGACATCAGAATATTAAAGCAAAACCAGAAACAGTAAAACAAATTTTGTTCTTTCCAGAGCATTGGATGAGAGTTTTCCACAGAGAAAAACATGAGCGTTTTCAATAAAGCAGAACTAACAACACCAGGGAATTCCCGCAAAAGATTTGTATTCTTCAACTGAATAAAGAAATATTTCAGTAAACAGTAAACCTTGAGTTGAACGTGACTGAATGCATGAACTAAAGATCTCTCAGCTGATGCTAGGGATATCCTCCACTTGAGAACCATTGTTTTATCCTCCAAACTTTTTTCTTCTAACGGAACAAGATGACAACCTTGGCACACAATTTGATCAACCAGTTTTTGTGGTGGCCACCCACACAGCCGTGTGCGAGTCACCCACTCTTCAGCATCTCTTGGCCAGCTTTTACAGGCAAAGCCTACAACTGTATTTAAAGAAGTAGCCTGTGGGCTGCTCTGTCCATGAGGGACGATTGACTTGGGTATAGATCTGCTTTGTTCTCTGATTGTTTGTTTTCTGTAGATGTTACTAGCGACAAACCTACGTCCGCCAAAAGTTACCAGTGAATTAACAATGGTAGTGTTACGCTTTTGTCCTAGTTCCCCTAATTGTAAGCTCACATAACCTGGTGTACATTGGGCTTCCAAAGCCTTGGTCATATACAACACAGTCTTGTGTGAGCTGTCTGGAGGAACCGACTGTCCAGGGGAGATAACTAGCACATCATTTTCAATATACACGGTGTCTGTATCGGACCCAGACATGTAGATTCCGTCAGACTGACTTCCACCAAGAAATACATTCCTAGTATTTTCCCTACAGTTATAAATTGATTCCAGATTCAATGTTACTCCTCTCCTTATATCTGTCACTTCCTTTGTTCCTGTGTAATTTTCATCGATGAATTTCGACAAGAGCACAGAGATGACCTCAATGTCGCCAGGGTCCCTGATAGCTCGATCCTGGTGTCCTCTACAATAAATTGAATTCATGTATTTACAAAGCGATAAAAATCAGGAAATATACATATACTGTAGTAAACCATGGTTTCAAAATATTCTTAAATCTCTGCCTGTCAGTGAGGGCATTTTTGTCATTTCTCAGTGCCTTCAGCTGTTGAGGTGTTTGATTGAATCTGTTATGTCTGTCATATCCATACCTAATCATTATATTCAAGATTGAATTTGATTTTAGGTCAACAGTGAATTAAAAAGGGCTGTATAATGTAATTAAATATAAAGAAAAAATGTAAATATGTAAATATGATTCTCATATTTAATGAAGTTGATTATCAAACAAAAGCATATTGCGTTCTTCATATGATGTAATTTAAAGATCATATGCCCTTTTGAAATTTCTTTCAAATGAAATAAAGAACATTTGAAATTTGGAGTTGCTGGACTTATTACCCGGTTAACAGCTAGGGTTATGTTGAAGTGAGGGGTCTCCTTGTAGAAACCGGTGGCTACCTCAATGAACAACAGACGGAAGGACTTTCCCGTGCCATTCAGAGCAATTAAGGCAAAGTGTCTCACTCAAGGACACTAATATGTCTGCACAGACCATTTTGTTTCTCAGCTTTATGAGAAATACAAACCACCGTATATAGAAGTCATTGAACCGCAGACCTCAGATCTTTACCTGACGTTAGGTAAGCTTATGCTATAACCAAATGAGCTATTTGTAGATGTATAAAAGGATTGCTGAAAGGAAATAAAACTTCATAGAAAAAGAATTTTGTAATGTTAATGAAATCACACACGAAAGCTTATGGAGGAAGTATGTTAATGATGAAATTTGTTACTCAAGGGAAGAACATAATTTGTGATAAATCTTAAAGTGACTGGCTAGCTTATCAGACAGATAGTTTAATTGCGGTCACCTTGGTGTTAGAATCATGCCGTGAAACATTGGCTGGACATGCTCTCCACCAGTGAAACATTAATTAACTGTTCACGGTTTAATTGTAGATCAGTAGAAGACACTTTTCCTATCAGAATTAGATAATTAACTTTAGGACAAACTGTAAGATCACAGCAAATAAAGTCAGTCCTGGTGTGGAAGGAGTAACTTGTTAAGCTCGATACTCAGGCCATACATGTTATCATTGTTGTAACTTGTGTTAATACTCAACATTTGTACTTGAGAACGGTTGTTGCTGGTCTTTTGTATAACATCAGTATAGTACAACATAGAGGGGTAACAAAGTTTAGTCTCTGTCTGATCAATATCAAATTATTTAGTTTAACAGATATAGATAACACCTTAGCAGTTTCCTTATACAAAAGGATTTCAGTGAAGTGGGATTTACCTTTCAAAGATCAGTTAAAATTTCAAATAACTGGACGGTTGCCAACTGAATCTTTTTAAGGCTCAGACAAATTATTTCCTTTCAGGCCGTTATTATCATCCAAGTTTCTTTGGGTGATATCCAACAGATAAGCATGTTCTACATACATAAATACATGCCTTACTTAGTAACATCAAGCAAGAGTTTATCCTTTAATTTATATTCACGTAACACCATTGTTAAAAAAAGGGTACTCTGTTGTAGGATTTTAGAATAATGAGACTGTGTACATGTACACATTGTTTTGTTAACGGAATCTAATTTTCGTCTGAAAAATTCTAAAATCTCAACATTCAAATCTCCAATTGTTTATGAAATCTCATTATTCCACTCTCCTGTTGTGTGTTAAATCACATTATTTCACTCTCCAATTGTTTATAAAATTGGTTTGGAAAACAAATGGAAAAAAAACTATAATATTAGCTCTTATGTATAACAACATTATTAACAGGATAAGAGAGATATGTTTCTTGTAGAAAACATTCGAAGAGGAGACAATAGAGAATATTACTAAGTAAAAAAAAACGAACATTAAGCAGTATAACAGAATATATAGATAGAAGACTTTATTTTCAGACCAATAATTCCATATTTTATTTTCAATATTAGAAAGCCATACTCTGCTTTATGGAGTTATTCATGCTGAAAGTTTTTAAATGGAAATAAATTATACATATTTAGTCAAACCTTTCAAATAAAAAATTATGTTTCCAAATTTCAGAAATGAAAAAATATTCTTTGACTGGACCTTTTTGACATTCTGACAAAATTTCAAGACACCTTTTAGAAATCAGAAATGAAATTGGATGTTTCCATATGCATTTATAGAAAAACTTTTTGTGGAACAAAAACAAAAGATCGCATGAGGAAAATTTTGTAAATTTCAATAGTTAATTAATAGAAGTCAGTTAAAACAATTGTCAGTAGTGATATTTGTCAACTAAAAACTTTCAACAGCAAATAGTCAATGACAACATCAACAACTATCAATAGTGACAACTGTCCATGACAACAGCATCAACAATATGTAAGAAACTAATCAATTACCTGCTCATATTGAATAGTGTTTATGGTCAAGTCCCTGTAGTCAGGCCATATTTATGTCACCAAGCTCACAGCGTAGTGTTATTTAAAGAATGCACGTACTGTGTGTACTGGAAATTTTCAGGTTGTGATATTTTTGTAATAAAGGGGAAACCCCTTGCTGGGAAACCACAACAGCAAGTCAATTTATATCTTTCTGTTATAGCAAGGAATGACTGACATGTTCAACAGGAAATAAGGAATTAATTTAGTGCCTCAAACAGAGGGATAATTATATCAGAATTTACATAAGGGTGAATAACTATATTATATCTAGTGATTGATATATTCACAAACTTGTTGCTTTCAGGACTAATTAAGACATATATACAGTCACTAAGATGAAATAAACATATTCTGAAATCTTGGTTAAGGTTAAGAGATCGTCCGTGAAGTGATTTTTTTGCCCAGTTTTACAGCCAAAAACAGGCTGTTTCCCCTAGCTACAGACTGCTGTAAAATACTGTAATATGTAAATGATGCATGTAAGTGGGGCTAAAATAGATATCATTTAAGTACAAAACGTTCTAACAGGATGTGCAGTATTTTTACAAGCTTGTGTTTCCCTTGTATAGTTAATTTGTTCAAATGAATGACCTTGCACATCACTAAATGTCATAATAATCAAACAATGGAGTCAAAATGTTTACTTGCCATTGTGATTTGCTGTTAGGTTTCCAATCAAAAGTAACAGTTTTGAAATCTTCAGTACAAAATTGATAACAATTTTACCTATAAGGATGCTGATGCTTGGTTTGTATTGCTTGTTGTGGGAACCTCTATTTGTGTAGTAAATAACTTGAGTAGAATCAGTCGCTTAATTAGGAGACTGTTTATATGAGATGGCATGAGAATCATCATGTTCAGTTATACATAATTACCAGTTTCAATATGATTAAGTTTTTTCTATATTTGTGTAACATATGAGGCTCTCAAAAAACCTCTTTTTTTTTATTTAGGTCATCTGACCTTCTTCTTTAATATTTTTAATTCAGAAACTTAATTTGATCTGTAGGGGCCCAAAATGGGGAAGTTAGAAAATATTTTGCTGCAGAACAATACTCTTCCTTAATGTGTGAATAGATTCCAACCAAAAGTGGTCTGAAACATCATTGAGGGTAAAGAACCATTTTTTACATTCAGAAAGTTTATTTGGCCCCTAGAGACTTACGTACAGGGCTCCAAAAGGAGAAATTAGTTAATATTTTGCTTCAAAACGCAACTCCTCCTTAATGCCTGGGCAGATGGTCTGAAATGTAGTTGCAGGTGGTTTCTCATTTCTGAAGTTCAGAAAGTTCGACCCCTTGAGTCTTTGGGGCTGGCCCCATATGGGAAAGTCAGTCAAAAATTTTGCTTCAAAATGCTACTATTTCTGATTGATTAAATAGATTTAATTCAAATTTTGATTGAAACTTGTGAAAGTTGCTGTGACCCCTAGGGACTTGGGAGTCAGGCCCAAAATGGGGAAGTTACTAAATATTTTGCTTCAAAATGCAATTTCTTCTTAATACCTGGGTAAATTTCAACCAAATTTTATCTGAAACATTATCTAAAACAAGTGCATCGTTCCTCTTAAGCTCTGGTTGCTTTGAAAATTGAGATCTTTAAAAAGATCTGTACTAATATCCCTATTTATATGAAGTTAACCTATAGAATATCCCATTATTTCATTTACCATTCATCATCTTTGATTACCGGTCAATTTGATTTATCTTTTTCTTGACCTTTATACACAGGAATACCCCCAACGGGGCATGGTCAACCAGTGGTTGCAGATATGTCAGTACGTCAGACACAAGCACCACTTGTACCTGTGATCACACTACCAACTTTGCTCTACTAATGAGTCCAGGCAAAACGGTAACGCTACTCTGAATAAAAATATCTTCTCTTTCTTTTTTTTAAGATAAAATTATATCAACTTTTCTATGTAAATGAAATAAGTTCAGATTTATGGAGACATTTTGTTTTGTATAATTTGTCTTTTTGAATTTTTATATGTTTAAAATTACCAACTAAAGAAATTAAAGTAGGATTAGGACTTAATGTCCTGTACCGTCAAAAATTATCTGCTTAATTAATTACTTTCACTCATATTGTTTAATTAATATTTAATTTATGTTACAGCCCGTTCAGCACATGTTGGCCCTCAGTGTTATATCCGCCATTGGTTGTGGAATCTCTATGCTGTTCTTGCTCACCACTATAGTGGTGTACCTGTCCTACTGGAGGTTAGTTATCAGACAGTTATTAAGCACTTTTATAGAGATTTACATACAGTGTCTCCGATCATCTCATCAGTACTGATTACTTTCAGAAAAACATACGGTTATTCAATGTACATGTATATATAAATATGTAATTTGATGTGATTAAGCAATACTGTTAAAAAGTGTTGCGGATATTGAAGAAATAAGATGTGAACAGTTTCAAAGAGTATATTCTGACCTGCTTAACATTTCGGTGTAAAATTTTCTTACGGTTTGTCATTCAAGCATTATTGGAAGTTTTTTTTATTTTCAACTTTTATGTTGTTATATTTTTAAAAAAACTAACAAATCAACAAAAACAAAACAAAAAGAAATTTTTATACGAAGAAGCTATTAATCACAACATACTCGTTACCAATTAAGAGGGTGTTGACTTTATAGTCAGCTACTTTCACCTCTGTCGCAGAGGCTTATTCAGGACACAGCGACATTTCCAAAGCTTCTAAAAAAAGAAATTTTGTTTCATTTTAAATCTTTAAGGACAAATATCCTAACAGATGTTTAAAAAAAATTACACATAGCAGAATTTGCTATTAGAAAGAAAGTTTTAAACTGTGTTGGTTTACAGGTATGTAAGGAGTGACCGGGCCACCATACTGATGCACCTGTGTGTAGCACTGTTGGCTGCCTACCTTTTATTCTTGGTTGGAATCAATAGGACAGAAAATAAGGTACACATGTTTCATATTTCTATTAAATGGAGCTCTGTAATAAAGATCATACATGTATTTGTTGATTTCACTTTTACTGTATAGAGCTTAAGTTGGATACGTCTTCAGAGTTTTTATAAAATATAATGTATTAATGAAGGATAAAATATGAAGGATAACTTTTTAGTGCCATGGTCACATAGAAATATCAGTGTATGTACAATTTTAAGGGAGATAATCCAGTATCATTATCTTGTAAGTGTCAAGAAGCTGTTATGTAAATATAAAAAATATAAGTGTATGTAGAATTAAGGGGAGATAATACAGTGACATTATCTTGTAAGGGTCAAGATGCAATTATATGAATATCAAAAATATAAGTGTATGTAGAATTAAGGGGAGATAATACAGTAACATTATCTTGTAAGTGCCAAGATGCTATTATATAGCATATATGTATATGTACAGTCGAACTTCGTTAACTCGAACTCGGAAAACTCGAAGACCCCGTTTAACTCGAAGCACTTTGTCGGTCCCGGCAAATATTCTAGTAATCAAAACTCGTGAAAAACTCTGTTAATTCGAAGTAAAAATTTGGTCCCAACAACAAAACATATACTGAATATGATCGGAAAACTCGAAGTATAAATTTTGTGCCGGTCAATTACATTGCTGATGCGCTACGTCGTTTTGCAATTTTACCGACAATAGGCTTTACAAGTGAATATTAATGAACAATACTGTAATTAACAATATTCATGTTTTAGAAAAGTGTTTATTGTTATTTAATTGAATGATAAAAGGTAACCGTTAGATCTTATAATTGATAGATATCGGCGATAAAAAGTATAGTTCTACTCACATTGCGTAATTTCCGTGTCTGTCAGCCATAACAAACACCGACCTGTGTATACACTCAGTGAAGCGGAACTAAGCTATAGAAAACAATCACAACACTGGCCCGAAATTGATGGTTTCTAAATAATAAGCAAACTGCACCTAATTTAATTATCAATTCTGGTTTTTCAACGATCAAGAACAAAATATGTTTGCTTATTACCGGAATCTACATCAAGCTCGTATATAGCCAAAAAGTGACAAAAAGTACAAGGAACGTCAGTTAAAAATCTTTGCACCAAAACTCATGAACTCGGCTATCTATATATTTTCGTGGTCCCATCGACTTCGAGTTAACGAGGTTTGACTGTATATAGAGTTTGAACAGAGACAATCCAATAACATAATCAAGTGTCAAGATATTGTTATGTTGATATACCCTAGCTACAAAAATACTTTTTTGTTCGTTCAGTTTTATTTATGTATTCATTTATTAGGGAGAAAATATTGATATGTATGTTTTGCATTAAAGACCTTTCATGTGACACTTTTCCACAGGATGTGTGTACTGGTTTCACAGCTGTACTTCACTACATTTTCCTTGTGGTGTTTTTCCTGATGTTGGCAGAGGGAATAGAAGTGGCCTTCACAGTGTTGTATGTGTTCTCTACACGGTCTCGTATCCGCTGGCTCCTACCTCTGTCCTGGTGTAAGTACTGTGTTGTATGTGTTCTCTACACGGCCTCGTATCCGCTGGCTCCTACCTCTGTCCTGGTGTAAGTACTGGATCTGACGTTACTAAGGAGCTTCGTTGATAAATGAAACAAAAAAAACAATAGATTCATAAATCAAAAATTAATTAAGATTTCTTTTAATTATACAAACTTTAATTTAATGACAAGTCCTGAATGTAATAAAATCAATGAATTCTAAACCATTTTGTTGCTCATTTTTGAACTGTATTTGATTAATACTTTTTAAAAAATTTTATGGATTGACTGTTAAATCTGTAGTTTTTTTGAAGGTTTTTGGTGATTTTGTCCCGATTGTATTTGATTAATGTGATAATTGTGATATTGAGGTTTGTGATTTTAATTTGATATCTGCAGTGGTTCCTGTTGTCATTGTTGCTATATCTATGGGAGCTACCAAGCTGGAGGGATATGGAAACTCACAATTGTAAGTTCATAATATATAACAGGAAATTTTATCACAGATCGACCTTGTCAATTATCAATAGTGTTTCTTTCCTTAAGAAGGGTGAAATACAAGCACTGTTAACCATGAAGTATTTATAGGTAAATGTCAAATTAAAATCAACTCAAACAATGTTTCCTGTTAACGGTATAAATAACTTTAAACCTGGCAATCAGTTATCATGTTATTACAACACCTACAGATATCACTTATGAATAAAGAATTAATTTTCTTTTAAATGTTCTGTTCAGAACAAGACCACGTACCCATTTTCTCCACAAGATCTTTTGTACACTAATTTCCATGTAGATTTATTCTCAAATTGTCTTGTTTTGAAAATAAATATTTTGAAAAATTGTTTGGTTTTATTTGCTTGTTACAGTTGTTGGTTGTCTGTATACAGTATAACTGGTGTGTTATGGGCGTTTGTTGCACCTGTTATATTGATTATTATTGTAAGTATCTGAACCATGAGTCAATTTATGTACTGCATCAGGCCAAATATTGGTCACTACGCATTTATAATGAAAATACCCCATGTATATTTCAATAATGCTTCATTTATGTCCAAATATTTATATGTAGTTTAAATCTTATCAATTTAGGGTTAAAATTTTGGGGGGAAAATGTGTTCCAAGTAACTGTTCCAATTTTTTTTTTTTCCAGATAAATACTGTGATGTTAATTTTTGGTGAATACTTTCCAGATAATTACTGTGATGTTTATTTTGGTGAATATTTTCAGATAAATGCTGTGATATTTATTTTGATGAACATTTTCCAGATAAATGCTGTGATATTATTCCTGGTGATACGAGCTCTATTTAATACCCATACGATGATGACAAAGGCCGCCCGTGATCAGGCAAAGTAAGCAAAACTCTCATATTCAAACACAAACTAAAATAATTCACAACTTAGCTTAAGCGGTGACAACTGAAAATTTCTTTTTATCCAATCTATCATGGTTTTCGCAACAACAAAAGAAACCAATAGAGCAATAGGGATTACAGTTATTGATGACCAGAAATTAAGCAGAATTAGTTTATCAGAGTTGTCTCCCCTTTTACATTTTCTTAACTTTTAAAACTATAACAATAAACTTATCACCTAGTTGTGATGTTTTATGCATTTTATGAATTTCCTTGTGTCTCATTTTTTGGGGATAGTTATCTCCCTTAGACCATAAACTCATCTTAAGTTAACTTGTGTGACACTCATCAATTATTAATATACTGATGTATCAGATGTCAGTTAACTTTATAATAATTTCTTGTATAATTTTACCATTTGACAGGACAGCCATGCGTAGCCTGTGTGTCCTTTTACCAGTGATGGGAGTGGCCTGGATATTCGGTGTTTTTTCTGTTAATGAAGAAATGGTTATATTTCAATACTTATTTGCAATATTTAATTCTCTGCAGGTGAGTTTGATGATATTCATAATTTTTTATTAGAATTTTACATTTCTGATTTCATGATGGTTGAATGGGATATATCCTATGCAGAAAAGGAAAATAAGAATTTAGAAATCCAACCTGTATTGTAAATGAAGAATGGATTATTTCAGCGAAGTTGTTGATTTTCCAATTGTCTTTTTCAGGGATTTTTGATTTTCCTGTTCCACTGCCTCTTAAATCGACAGGTATGATATAAAAAAGTTGAAACTTTTGTCAGGTAAAAAATTTATATTGGTACCACAAGTAGATGATCTTACAAGGAACTCCCACTCTGCATAAAGGGCGTAGTACAGAACTCATCAAGATTGTAGTTCACTGAGTGACTTAATAAAAGTACAGAAAAAGAAAACAGAAATAATTTGTATGTTGATTCTTAAAAAGAAATTGTGATTAAAAAAAGATTTAATTAATATTCCTGTTATGATTAAGATAACTCTTTTTATGATCTTTCTAGGAAAAATTGGTGGTCTCTACGCTGATGTTCTATAAAAAGAATTTGGAGGGATTTTTGTTAACTGTGAAGTTTTTGTTGGTTGTATATTATTAAGCTGCCTAGATTTGGAGTAATGTAGTATGATGTTGTTATTTACAGATAAAAGATGCCATTAATCAAACTAGGCGACGCAAGAGAAGCATGGCTGACCTCGGCACGAAAAGTACCTCACAGAGCGGTAATACTAACCCTGTAAGTATGGCCGACCTCATCACAAAAGTACCTCACAGAGACGTAATACTAATCCTGTAAGTATGGCCGACCTCATCACAAAAGTACCTCGCAGAGACGTAATACTAACCCTGTAAGTATGGCCGACCTCATCACAAAAACTACCTCACAGAGACATAATACTAATCCTGTAAGTATGGCCGACCTCATCACAAAAGTACCTCGCAGAGACGTAATACTAACCCTGTAAGTATGGCTGACCTCATCACAAAACTACCTTACAGAGACGTAATACTAATCCTGTAAGTATGGCCGACCTCATCACAAAAGTACCTCGCGGAGACGTAATACTAACCCTGTAAGTATGGCCGACTTCATCACAAAAACTACCTCACAGAGACGTAATACTAATCCTGTAAGTATGGCCGACCTCATCACAAAAGTACCTCACAGAGACGTAATACTTACCCTGTAAGTATGGCCGACCTCATCACAAAAGTACCTCACAGAGACGTAATACTAACCCTGTAAGTATGCCGACCTCATCACAAAAACTACCTCACAGAGACGTAATACTAATCCTGTAAGTATGGCCGACCTCATCACAAAAGTACCTCGCAGAGACGTAATACTAACCCTGTAAGTATGGCCGACCTCATCACAAAAGTACCTCACAGAGACGTAATACTAACCCTGTAAGTATGGCCGACCTCATCACAAAAGTACCTCACAGAGACGTAATACTAACCCTGTAAGTATGGCCGACCTCATCACAAAAGTACCTCGCAGAGACGTAATACTAACCCTGTAAGTATGGCCGACCTCATCACAAAAACTACCTCACAGAGACATAATACTAATCCTGTAAGTATGGCCGACCTCATCACAAAAGTACCTCGCAGAGACGTAATACTAACCCTGTAAGTATGGCCGACCTCATCACAAAACTACCTTACAGAGACGTAATACTAATCCTGTAAGTATGGCCGACCTCATCACAAAAGTACCTCGCAGAGACGTAATACTAACCCTGTAAGTATGGCCGACCTCATCACAAAAACTACCTCACAGAGACGTAATACTAATCCTGTAAGTATGGCCGACCTCATCACAAAAGTACCTCGCAGAGACGTAATACTAACCCTGTAAGTATGGCCGACCTCATCACAAAAACTACCTCACAGAGACGTAATACTAATCCTGTAAGTATGGCCGACCTCATCACAAAAGTACCTCACAGAGACGTAATACTAACCCTGTAAGTATGGCCGACCTCATCACAAAAGTACCTTACAGAGACGTAATACTAACCCTGTAAGTACGGCCGACCTCATCACAAAAGTACCTCACAGAGACGTAATACTAACCCTGTAAGTATGGCTGACCTGGGCACGAAAAGTACCTCACAGAGACATAATACTAATCCTGTAAGTATGGCCGACCTCATCACAAAAGTACCTCACAGAGACGTAATACTAACCCTGTAAGTATGGCCGACCTTATCACAAAAGTACCTCACAGACGTAATACTAACCCTGTAAGTATGGCTGACCTGGGCACGAAAAGTACCTCACAGAGACGTAATACTAACCCTGTAAGTATGGCTGACCTGGGCACGAAAAGTACCTCACAGAGACGTAATACTAACCCTGTAAGTATGGCCGACCTCATCACAAAACTACCTCACAGAGACGTAATACTAACCCTGTAAGTATGGCTGACCTGGGCACGAAAAGTACCTCACAGAGACGTAATACTAACCCTGTAAGTATGGCCGACCTCATCACAAAAGTACCTCACAGAGACGTAATACTAACCCTGTAAGTATGGCCGACCTCATCACAAAAGTACCTCACAGAGACGTAATACTAACCCTGTAAGTATGGCCGACCTCATCACAAAAGTACCTCACAGAGACTTAATACTAACCCTGTAAGTATGGCCGACCTCATCACAAAAGTACCTCACAGAGACTTAATACTAACCCTGTAAGTATGGCTGACCTGGGCACGAAAGTATCTTATAGAGCGATAAAATTAATTGGGTAAATATTGCTAACCTTGGCATCAAGAGTACCAGACAGAGCTATGTTTCAAACTTTTGCACTGTACAATTAGTCCTTTGCATATCTATTCAGATGTGACTGCAGTACCCTTAATTATGGAGATTTTAAATGTCTTTTGAATATCACAATTATTAATCCTTAAATACATGCATATAGGAGTAAATGCCATATAAATATCCCCTTGATCATTTTCTGACACGTTCTTGGATAAAATTAAAAAGATATAAAATAGAATTTTATTTTTAGTAAAATATTCATGTTTGATTGTTTCTACTGCTTATTTTTACTTACAGAAAATGTCACAGAAGGATTACTATGAGCAAAAGCAAAATAACGTCGACGTTGATAAAAAAGGTAATTATAGATTTGTGTTGTATCATCCTTGTTGTATTTTGTTGTTTATTTAATGAAAGAGCCTCCATATGTACGAAAAATAATGCTTCTAAGACAAATTTTGTTGTGAAACAAATGTGTTTTCATTACATTTGCCAGAAAATCCGTTCCTTGAAGCTGATCGTCAAGTACAACAGATTGTGGACAAACTTCTGTCTGTGGACAACTTGAATGCTTACGACGGCGAGACTAAAGAAAAGAACACAGAAAAAGACATCATCGTAAGCTTAGAGGATGTTAAAATTACAAATGTATTTAAGGACTCAGACGTGACATCTGGGGAACAATCGGCAGCACTATCATCGAGTGAACAGTCAGGAATGGCGTCATCATCTTCTACATCCCAACGTCACATGTCTGCCAGTAAAACTCGCAGTGATCCGATGGGAGGAAGCAGACCTGTGCCAGCAACATATGAACAATTGGGTCCAAAACGAACTGATTCTGTAAGCTGTGATATTGAAAGATTCACATTGAAAATCTTCCTTTTTGATTGTGTGATAAAATATTGTGCATTGTCCTTATCAATAAATGTGATGATACTCCTTCAGAAATCTATTACCTGTTATTTGACAAGAAGAATATATTTCCTTTTGAAATAGAAAGCAACAATTAAATCTTCATTATGCTGTAAAGAATAACTTAGTTACACATTTATGTTGATATGTAATATGCAGTGGGTTTTTTTGACTGTTACTGTCTTCATTTGGAATACAAGACCTTGTTTCCACAGTTGTCATTCTCTTTCAGAAATATCATAAGTACGAAAGTTTGGAGCAGAACCGTTCTGATCACGGGTCCGACCGTGGATCTGATCGGGAGCGACACCGCCCAGTTACTGGTCAGATGTCACAACCTACCCAGTCGAGCCACCGTCCAGTTACTAATCAGACGTCACAACCTACCCAGTCGAGCCACCGCCCAGTTACTGGTCAGATGTCACAACCTACTCAGTATAGCCAGTATAGTAAACCAACTGCTAGTACATATTACAACCCACAGATATCTCCAGCTTCTTCCTCAGCAAGGTTCTCCTCCGCGCAGACACGCTCAACAATAGTTGATCCCTATAGCTCTTCTGACATGGAGGTAAGAAGCCACTTGAACAATAGAAAATCTGGGTTTTACTTTTCCGTAATTTTCTTGGTGCCACATTTACAGGTGCCCAATTGTAATCTGTCCTGTCCATCAGCCAATATCTGTCCTTCCAAAGTTTTGGTTCAGAACCAAAGCGTCCAAAATTCTTGGTATACATGGACATATTGTACTTACTTGAAGTTTTAGGGAAGAGATTTATCAAGCACCCAAATTCAACATAGCAGCTTTTAATTAGACACCAGTTTTACCATATTGACCCGACAGTTCTGGCAGTTCCTTTATCATAGCCCAATTGTATGTAATTACCAAATGGTTATTATCACTTTATGATATTATGTCATGATCCCCATCGAAAACATAAGCTGAGACAAAAAGAGTAAATAGTTTTATCTACAATCCATTTTTTCATTTCAAATGCCGTGCCTTTCAAGAATCATTTCTATAGTATGAAATGTTTTGTTCGTTAGTCAATCTCTTTGTGATGTTGAAACATTGAAAGAAATGGAAGGCTTTTCCTTAAGCAATTTTTGTAATATACAAAGTAAAACATTTTAGAAAAAAATGGAGTTATTTCCCTTGCACCAGTGACCATACCTGTGTCATACTCAAGCCTGTGTTTTGTTGGTATATGTAGTTTCAGGAGAGCCAGTACGTCACAAGAATAGACAGCATTTACCAAAAGGAATCTCGTGCAGACTCCAAGAAAAAGGTCCAGAAAAAGAAGGTACAGTATTCCTGCACTCGGAAGGTACAGGTAGAAAAGACATCAATTTTGTTGAAATGTCTCATATATTAAATCATCTTGGTTTGAATTGGTGGTGACCACAATCAAGGTATCTTGATCACATTTCCAAAGTTGGTGTTTTATGACACAAGAATGGCTAAATAAAATTATCAGAATCTTGCCCAGCAAGTTACTTTTGGAATGCATATTATTTATTTCTAATTTTCATTTCATTTTTCTATTCTGTTTATTTATTTTTATGTTGTGATTTTTTGGCAATTATTTGTTCACACCTTAATGCACATAAGAAATGACTTGCCTTCCAGAGTAAAGAGGTCCAAGAAGCACATAGAATTACACAGGACCTGTATGGTCTTCCACAACCTACACACGAGGTCAGTAAACCCAGACCCCATGATATAGAGTTTAACTTAAGCTGTAGTAAATAACTATCTAACATAAGCTTTAAATGTAGCTACTTAAGATATATCTTAATTGTGTAATTTGTTGTATTACAAACTTTACCACTAACAGAATACTTTATTATTTTTCAGTGGTACTATACCATTTAAAAATTAAAAAGAAATTTAAGAAATTTAAAGATGATATAGTAAATCAGTCTGGATTTTTTTTCTCAAAATTATTGTGTCTGAAAAATAAAGAAGCTCTATGATAAATAGAAAATAGTGCAAACTTTAGCCTTTGAATAGGCAAGTAATATTATAGAGAACACTTGTAAGCTAGAATTTTCAACCCAAACTTGAATTTTTACGAAAAACTTTTCCATCTTTTTTTTTACAT